CCTCCTCAATTGGTCCTGTAGCCGTGGCGTACCAGCCCCGGTCGACTGACTCCACTAGCGCTCTGCTTGCCTCGCGAATGAGTGAAGCGTAGCCCGGGTTCTCAGTCTGCAAGAACATGCTGGTATGAGCTTTGATTTCATCTGCAGCTTTATCATTCACGGCTCTGGCCCATCGGAGACCTAGCTCCGGAACCTCCGGGCCTTGGCCTCCCGCTGGAAGCGAACAGAAAGTGCGGTCCTTGGAGCGTATAATCTTTTGGCTGAACGACGTATTGCTACGGGTTGTGTTCTCTACCAGCGAGCTCGCATTCTTGCCCAAGCACGTATAGAAATTGACGCAGGCAATCCCGCGGTCCTTTTGCACTTCCGACAGCGAAGCCAGGCGCTGCCGCAAATCGGAAGAGCGTGCCAGGCAGCCAACAAATACCAGGTGGGATGACACCCAGCCCCAGCCGTCGGTTAGTCGCTGACGCTGCGAATACACTGCTGCCGCCCCGCCGGCCGCCAGGGCGCCTGCTCCGGCAAACATCGCGTACCGACCCCACCGTTGCCAGGACGGCGTGGCAGCGGCGTCGTTAGTCGATGAAGTCGGTAGAGATCTCTTGGGCTCCCCTGAGCGATCGGACGATGTTGTCTCCCCTGAAGAATTGTTGCTCCCTCCGATTCCGAATAGGCCAGCCACTTCGGACAACGCGGTATATGCGCTGGTAGCATTTCGGAACTGTCCCTCGGCCCCGTACGAAACCACCCCGGGCGCAATCCCCAAAAACGGCGTGTCGAATGCGAGAACCCCTTGAATATGCGGAAACATAAATGAGCCGGCTCCGATGGAAGTGTCCGAATTTGTGCAAGAGCCAGGTGCGTTGGGCTCCGTTGAGACAGTGGCGGCAGGCTTGGGAGGCAGAGGCTGCTCGGAAGCCAGTAGCAGGAGTGTCTCCGCCGCCACAATCCCACCCATGGAGTGACCGACTAGAAACACATGGACCGAAGGATCCACGGTGGGTGAAGCTGTTCGATTCGCGACTTCCAGGTCGATGACTGTATTCTGCAGCCTGCACCGACGGCTGTGGCTTAGTGGTACGTTCAACCAGCCAGAGTTGAAATCACATGAAATTAAGACGCAACGAACCATTCCCGAAATGTGCTCACACATTCCCTCAGGTCGCCTCGAGTTTCGTACTTTGGGTAGACCGCGGTTGTCACTCGTGCGTCAGGAAGAGCACGGCTGACCACCGTGCAAAAATGCCTAGGAAAGTCTCCGAATGTATCATCGCCCCCCTGCAAGTATTAGCAACACCAACAGGTATGGTTTGCGACCGACGCAATTCGTGCGCGCAAGACAGGTAAAGCGTGGAGGATCGCGGATGCGAGAGCGGACCGTACCTTAAAGCCGTGGATGAACACAATCAGCAATGTCTTCTTCATTATGCTGGATGAGGCTAGACTGAAGGACACATTATGGTAGTGCGAGTCAAGCAAGTCTGAAAAAGAGGGGATATGAGGTGAGTGAGTCTGAGGATGGTTGAGCAGTGGACAATTTACCAGACTAAGGATAAGGCGTCGGTCAGCGGAAAAGAAAACGACTACGTCATCGGGCAACCGATGCACGTGACAGGGGTCTATTGCAGCACACACCCACGTGGTTGCCTCGCTGCCTCGCTGCCTCGCTGCCTCGCTGCCTCGCTGCCTCGCTGCTTCGCGTCTTGTCCGGTACCGTTATCGAGTTAAGGCATTCTTCAACCTGGACTCAAATGGCTGGAGCGAAACCGTGCGACAGAACAGCCATACGAGCTGTACTTTATCAACTGCCATCCAACGGCATGGGCTGGGTCTATGTAAGGTTCTTGAGGCTTGCGCCAGCCCAAGCCCTTCATCGACCTGAATCTCAATCTCGATCTCGATCTCGATCTCGATTCCATTCGATCAGTGCCACTCGAGGTTATCTGTACCCGCTTCACCATATCAGGCTAAGAGGCCAAAGCGGGTCGTGTATTTCACGCACAACCTTCTCGCAACCTCATAGGAGCTGATACTGGATAGATTCACTACGTGTAGATACTAGGAGTGCAGTCTGGCCAATCCCTGTATATTCACCGGTAGTCTTTGGTACCTTAAACTCTAGTACTGCTTCATCCACTTGATTTAATCACCTACAGCAAATTATTAAATATGCAAGATTGCCACATTACAATAATAGACTCGAAATAGAGAACCCTGTGAATAAGGGATTGCATCTCAGATCAATGGCAGCGATGTTGTATAGGTGACCTCTCCTCGACAACCTTCTCTCTTATCGTCATCCCAAACGCTCGAAGACCTGTTATAGTCTATTTAGACTCATGGCCAAGGCTTCGTTCTATACGAAGTCTGGGGAGCCGCCCACCGCCTCTAGTACATCAACCCCTCTCTACTATGATGGAACATCTATATCATAATAGTAATATCCACGACATCACCACACTCTTGTGGCAGAAGTTCGGCTGCCATACTCCTTCCCCAAGTCCTTGGCCAGGACCATCGATACTCGTGAACTCGCAACCTTATACACCCGCCTATATGGCCGTTCAGCACGGCCACTAATTTCTGTCGCTCGGACACTCCCACCGGGGTGTTTGCTTGGAGTATCGATTCTTCCAGGATCACGCACGACGCGACTTGAGCCCAGGAGAGACCTATCTAAGACGAGACGATGGCAAAAGTCCTCCGCGATCAAAGTCAGTGACGCTCTTGGCCATTAATGGTGCCTGGGTAGCCTCCAGCGTATCATACCCAATATTATGGCACTCTTGGGTTGCAATAATCACCACTCTGAGGAAACCCCATTGCTTGCTTGCGGCTATAGCTTTTGGTGCGACCAACTAGCACCGAGATAACTTTCATATCTGACCCTTTGTTATCCAAATAAGGAGCCCTAACCGATGGCTTTTCCTAGAGTGGCCTCTAGATTTTGAATATGACTAGAATCAGAAAGGCAGGGGCACATCGACGATAGCTCAAATGCTATCATACCTCGACGGAAATTCTATTACAGCTTAGTATTCCAGCCATGTCATGGCTCATACCACTTACATGACTTAATCACTACAGCGGTTTCCACGTTGCTAATCATGTCGAGCCTTTTCCTCGATTAAGATTAAATCAGGTTTCACCATCTGACTAGCCACCCACCCCGAGTGCGCTGTGGAGGAGGCGGGCCTTCACTGCATGAATACTGGCTCGTGTAAAAATGAAAAGAAAACCAAGAGCAACTCGCTTGACACCAGCGACGTTTCAATTGGATCTGTGATCATCACTCAGGATGCACACCTGACCCGTCGTTCCTTTGTTGGACCAGAGCTAGCAGATCAAGGAACATTATATACTGGAAGGATAGTGTCAAAATCTCAGTCTAGCCTAAGAGTATGGTCGGAATTGTGTGCCTCAGGTAATTGATGCCAGCTAGCTCTGTACAGTAAATAAGAATATGCATAGTCGGGAGTCTGGGGGAACATCACTTTTTTGTGACTTCGGATTCTTGCAGAGACATAATCAGACGCATCCATTGTTCTTCCCTCTCACATTTCCATGAATTATCGTCTTTCTAGAGTTCAAATATGGTGACTCTTCTTGCCCAGCTCGCAGCTCGTCACGAAGATTCTCAAATGAATCGGATAGGTGCTTCAAATGCTGCCCACTAGAAGCCACTGAAAACTATGATTAATCCCGAGAATCTAGATAGACCCGACTGATGTCTATATATCAGAATATATGGCATTGAGGAAGTGAGCAAGGTCCAGGTATGTATGAGCACTAACATAGTAATGTAAACCCCCATCTAGTGGGGTAGGCGAGATTTCCATCTTCATCAGGAATCTCGGAGATTCTCAATGCGATGAGGCTCGTCAAGAAGGAGACTGGTCACCCATATTGAAGATTACCATTTTCTCGCACGGGTGTGTGTAAGAGGAACCAAACGCACGAAGAAGATGGTGACGGTGGTAAAGGCTATGATGCTATCACCTTGGCTGCGTGTAGCCTGGAAGTCTAAAGTTGTCACTTCCCCCTGCTTCAGCCCAATCAAGCGATTGATAAACCTGTGCACAGTAAACTAAGATGCGATGGCACCTACGTGATGAGTTGTTTTGAACCACTTGCACTGTGGTATGCGAGCTGCTTATTCTCCGTATTTCATATCGAGAGCCGGGAGCTCTATGTTTTGTCTTTCTCGTCTGGGAGCCTAAACGCTTTAAAAGAAAAAAGGTTAACATGCTACCTGAGAGTATAGATTTAGGTTCAAGGGGCTTTATGGCTTTATATTTGACATAAGTGCAACGATATATAGCATAAAATCTGGTTCCGATGGTAAAGTAAGTTTGATATAAGTATAGAAACCCCAGAATCTTACAAACCTAGAAGTTGCAGAAATGCTTTGTCCTATTTGTATCTCACCTATGGATATATAAGTAGCGTAATTGTCCAGTAAAAACCAGACCTTGAGATTGGGCCTTTTAGTACACACTGTTGCGGAAATGAGCAGCCTGTTTACCGATTACATTAGCTAGCTATCTAGTTTCTGACTTTTGATCACCATATAGTGGGACCCATTGACTAGTTATAAACAGTTCCGGTTACCGCATGTGCATGTCCCAGGGAGAGACCAGTCATGGGGCCCTCGTCACGCGTCATCAGCATCACTCCTTTCATAGATGTGCTAGTTATGGGGAAGATATTCGCAATCTACCGCCGAAGTCCAGCGTCACAGTCATCTCAGGTTGGTAGCGATGGTGTTATTCGACATGAACATTTAGATGGAGCCATATGAGTTAGAGGCAGCGTGATCTGTCCTCTCGAATCCAAAGGTGACTAAATCCTTGTTTAGAGACACGGCTTCAGAGTCATGATCGAACAGATCCTTTATTCTTGAGCTTCCATTGCAAGAAGCATCCAGTATGACCGCATTTCATGACAACGCATGATATGGATCTTCAGTCTACAACTGCGATCGACACCAGTGACCGAAATCAACCCTGTTGCCCACCGACACCCTCCCCATCCGTAATCCTTGAGTTCTCCCAGATCTTCTCCGAATGCCCCTGAACAGCAAGATCAACCGCCGCTCGCGCCAACACGTCCACCCATACGGAGGGCGCCAGACTCTGAACACGATCGACCAACGTCCCCTGGCGACTCAGCACCATGCCCGGCCGCATGATATATGACTCGAACGTGGCAGGATGCTCGGCTGCGTACTCCAGAAAGATATTCTCAGCTTGGCCCTAGTGGTCTCTTCATCAATATTTCCGTTTCCACAATACCAGGAAACTGGGGAGGTGGAGATAATACCCTCAGCCGACGATACCCCGCCATCACCCACAAAGACTTTGTCTGACCGCGCTCTGCCATCCCGCCGCTGAAATCCAAGAAGCGGAATTTTTAACCAGCCGCGGAAGGGGCTTCTTCTCGCTCTGTTCCGGCCAAAGAAGCAGTAAAGGCCTCGTTGAATGCTACGGCTGCCTGGCTGGTATACTCCAGCGTGACCCGCCGGGAGGCCTCTTCGTCCGCTGACGCACGAGAGGGCGGCACGCCTAGCGTCCAGATGCACGCGGCGGCGGCGAGGAGCGAGGCGGCGAGGTGCGGGTCGGAGTAGGAGAGGAAGTCCTGGTCTTGCATGCGGCGAACCTGGAGTTTGGGGTAGGTGATATTGCTGGGTAGTTCGCGACGTGAGAGGACGAGGATGGAGGTGATTGAGGGGTGGGCCAGGCACTGAGTGAGGACCTCTTGGCCTATGAGCCCAGTTGTACCGGCGAGGATGATTTCCATGATGCAGGTGCTTGTTCTTTTGTATGTGGAGTAGACTCAATGGTGGGGGGTTAAGATGACAGCGGGTTAGCTTGGAGCTTGGAGCAATTTGTGGTCATTGCACTGGTTGTATAGAGCGGGGCGACGGACCATCTGGGATGGATGGGTTGGGCTAGTCATATGTGTCAGAGGAAGGCTGATGATGAATACATTTGTAGCTTTGTCTTGTTGCTTATCATACATCATTAGACGTTTGGCACTAGAAGGAGTACAAATATAGCGGGCATAAGCATCAGTCGAAACTACTAACAGGCTCACCCCTTCGCTGGAAACTAAATCTTGCTAGGTCGAACCCGGGCATGACTCGTGGTCTGATCGCTCATAAGGTCGGATGAGAGGGAGAACAGGCGCATGGTAGGACTCAGATATAGTTATCAACAACCTCAATTGTGACATCGAGCAGTTAGGGTACATATTTCTGGTGATGTAGCACCGAGAATACATGATTGAGGTTGTATGATGGGTTAGACCGTCAACTGGCGCCTATACCAGGTGCAAGACCCAGGTGGTCTATAAACTACTAGTAGTCACACCATCGTTCTCCATTATCACCACGTATTCCACCTCAAGCAGGTCAGACCGATAATCAAGAGATTCATTACTTGTTTTCCCGCGCTTATTCTTTGCTCGAACCGGGAACGCGGTCGAAGCAGGAATAACATCTCTACCAAGGCACATTTCCTGATTTATGATTTTTACCTAAACCAAGGTCTTCGAATAGCGGTTAACAAGTTGAAGTAATATTGAAGATATAGAACTGGTACCATTTCGCAGGAATGAACTCTTTTCTAGATAACATAAGTCAAAGAATGCTTGGGTGTTGCTCACACCAACTATATATACCACGGCCCGACTATATGCAGAACATACAACGAAGAGATCTATGCAACCCCTCATAACCAGTCCATCCTCACAACTTCTCCCTATCAGCCCGAGCCACCTTCAACATACCATCTTGATAACTCGTCGCCACCAACCTCCCCTCCGGCGACCACAACCAACTCTCATGGATCGCGCGACTATCCCCGGACCTAGGCGTCCAGCCCTCCTGAATAAACCACTTCTTGGACAGCCCACGCCCCTCCTTAGCCTCTGCCTCCGGCTCTGCATCCCAATCAATCATCCGCACCGCCTCCCCAAGCTCATGAAACACAACCGTCAGCGTCAAGCTCGCCAGCGCATCCCACACCTTCATCCCCAACGCGCGGGGGATCAGCAGCAACGAGTTCTTATCCGCCGCATACATATGCGCGCACGCATACAGATTATCGAACTCGCCTGCCCTCTCCCTCCGCCTCACCTCCTCCACGCTGACCTCTTCCTCCTTCACAGAACCAGGCTGATCGCCCGGCGACCCCTTGAGCTTATAAAACGTCAACTGCCGATACCGATCCGGCTGTCTTGTCACTTCCTCCCTCCGGTTGAAACCCCGCATATCCACATTCCGCGCCTCCAGCCCGGGGAACTCGCGCTCCGGGATCCCGTGCTTCTCCCACTGCTCGCGCCAGTAATCGATGTAGAAGTCCGCGTCGACGCCGGGCTGGACCGGAAAGTCCTGGGGTTTCTTTCCCGCGAGAAGCTCGGCGTAGCGCTGTTGGGCGGAGACGGGCTGGTGCGCGAACGGCACTGTGGCAGGTGGTTCGGCGCGTTTGAATGAGACCAAACCCGAGAAGCAGATCTGGTGGGCCTGACGGGCGTCGACGGCGCGCGTGCAGTAGCTTTTGCCGTCGCGGAGGTGGCGCACCGTGTATTCGTAGGGGATATCCAGGCGGCCAGGGAGGATGAAGGTGCCGGTTACATTCTTTGAGTTGGTTAGTGATTTGGTCTGGAGGGTGTGGGGCTGATGATGGGTCGGCAGGGCTCGGTAGAATACATACATGGATGAGGAAGCCTTTCTCGACGGTCTGCGAGGCGGCGTAGGCCGATTGGGCGTAGACGTGGCCGCCGAATGCGCGGCCTGCTTCGCCCGGGGGGTAGGGTGGTGCCAGCGATTGGAAGCGTTCGATATGTTCTGGGCTGTTCTCCGAGGGGATTTGGCTCTTATCCTCGGGCAGGCGGCGGAGGGACATCAGCTCCGTGAAGGAGGAGGGGCTTTCGGTGTAGGATAGTTCTAGCATCGTGGTTTCGTTTGATCTCTGTTTGGTGTTATGAAGTAAGACAGGATCAAAAGAATCTGACGCTGGAGATGTGGTGGCACTTGATGCTTGTGATGGATGGTATGTACAGTATATTCTTGAAGACGAATTCCTGATCCCTGTCGATTCGAGGGTTACGGTGGGTGCGGATGAGAGGCGACGGCGGTATAAGACCGAAATATGTGCATGTGATGTGTTACTGTTGAGAAATTTGGCTTGAAAAAGTAGAGGCAACCTGGACAACCTGGACAAAGAGGGGAATCTGCTTTTTGTTGAGGCTAATTAAGCGTCTTCCGTTCCTGGACTGCATCATAACCAACGCATGTCGGAGCTAACCTCGGCTGATGATGCCGTTGCGCTTTGCACGCGGCATGATCTGCGGCCAATCTACATTCCCTACTCCGGAAGATTTCCCACATGATTCGCAAGTCCAGACCTCGCTGTTTTCTCTTCAAGGGTCGTGCCTCCTACATGTTATGGAGGCTGATTGATGCGCCGATCGTCTACTTCTGCGGCCCGGAGACAGACAGCCTGCCAAACAAACGGTAATGCCGCTCTACCAACCAACCGATATCAACTAGCCTTGCACTCAACACACCTTCACTCACGACCAGCCTTAATGTCAAGTTCTCCTCCAGAACAAGGGAGTAGTTGTAGCCCATAAGCAAACTCAAGTGAATTGATCTCGCCATCGGTATTGGCCGAAAATCTGCCAGTTCAGGTATATGCGCCAAGGATGCTGATATGATATACAACAAAGACACAAAAGCAAAAAGAAAAGAACACCCATCCCAAATATGATACAATAACGATCTAGACGCGTTGCGCCACGGGGGCAACCCAAACGAAGATCACCCGGCTCTTTTGTTTCTCGTCGCGAACATCAATAATAAGTGCAAATTAACCGTTCCACACCATCGATCAGATGGAGTCGGTGAGCGGGCGGTATTTGTTCCAGTCCACCTTGCCCTCCACGTCCTTGATCTCCTCCAGCTTGTCGCCCAGCTTCACCACGGAGAAGCGGATCATACGGGGATCGAGACCGAGGGTGCGCTGGACAGCTTGCTGGACAGCACCAGAGGAGTCGAAGCGCATGATGAAGTGGTGACCTTCGTGGTAGCGGGCCTGGTGCTTCGTGGTCGGCCGGGGCAGGGTGAAGGTGCCCCAGTTGGTGTAGCCGCGGACTACGCCGCCGGCGCGCAGGACCTGGACACCGGCATTACGGGCGATACTGTTTATTGATTAGATCAAAGCAAGAACCATCGTATGAGGAGTGTCAACAAGGTAAAAGTCTGGCTGTGGAGGAGTGTGTAGGGGAGGGAGTCAAGTCGGTACGTACTCGCGGACCTCGTGGAGGCTGCCGGGGCGGACCTGGTGTGATGTTAGCCACAATTCTCAATTCCCACGAGGATGAAAGACACATACAACTGCAATCAGCTCGTACAACATGACAGCGGTAAACCTGCGGAGAAGCAATTTGTTCTGGACCTGGACAATGGGACCAACGAAAGGGACAAGCGGAGAGTCGACAACAAGCCCGGGAACATCTGAACAGGGAAAGGGAACCAGATTTTTCCGGGCCGCGCGCCCGCAATGCTTTTTTGCTTATCAGTTAATCGGCTTGGCAGCCCGAGGCCGTTATCAGTACTCTACTCCGTAGGTAGACTAGCCTAGCTCCGGGAAGTGCTCGTCATCTCCGTCATTAGCTTTCCTACTCTTTCCTACCCTTTTACTTTAGTATTTAACCTCTTTTCCCTCCCTCTTCCCCCACACAAACCCAACTCTTGCTCTTCTTCCTGACACCCTCCCACTTGCTTCACCACGCTCCTCGCTGCTCCTACCGTCTCAATTGCCATCCACAATGTCTGCCCTCGCCAGTTCTTTCCGTCCCGTCGCCTCGCGCTTCCTGGCGCAAAAGCTCCCCCTCTCCGCCGTCCGCAGGGCGACCCCCGTCAGTTTCCCGCGGGGAAGTGTCCGGAGCTTCTCTCAGAGCCCATTCTGTACGCATTCTCCCTCCGATGGCTATGTTTAGGGGGGTGTTGAAGCCTTCGCATGATTTAGTCTTCATATTCCCACGGAAAAAAATAAAATCATGGAAAATAGTGGTGGCTGACCTCCTCAACCCATACAGGGCAACTGAAGAAGTATACCGAGTCTCACGAATGGATCGAGCTGGCCGATAACGGCAAGACGGGTGAGTCTACCTCCCCTTCCCTCCCTCCCCTTAAGCACAAGACGACCCTCATCGTCCTAATTCCCTCTGTGCCCCCGACCTGCTTTCCCCCCTGCCTTTCTCCCTCCACCTCCCTCCACCCCATCCCCCAACCCCCCCAGCTAACAACCCCACTCCTCCAGCCAAAATCGGCATCACCGCCTACGCTGCCCACTCCCTCGGCGACGTCGTCTACGTCGAGCTCCCCTCCGAGGGGCTGGAGGTGAGCGCCAACGAGCCCGTCGGCGCCGTCGAGTCCGTCAAGTCCGCCTCGGACGTGCTCTCGCCCGTCGCCGGCACCGTGGTGCGCGGCAACGCCATCCTCGAAGACAAGGCTAAGTTCATCAACGAGAGCCCCGAGGCCGAGGCCTGGATCGCCGAGATCGAGGTCGCCGACGCCGCCGAGTTGGACTCCCTGCTGGATGAGGCCGCCTACAAGGCGCACATTGAGGCCGAGGATCACTAGGTTTGGTTCATAAGAATGTGATGGTGATCGGTTCTTGGGGGGGCGGTGTCCCGAGGGGCCTTTTAGTCTTTTTCTTTTTTTTGTAAAGTTGTTCATGCTTGCGGTTTTCTTATGGGATGGAATTCTATGTTTTGGGATAATGTTGCGTCTCGGCGGGATGCGACGTTGATTTGATTGGGTTTATAGATATGATGTGATGATGCGCGGTGGGTTGATTTCAATCCGGCTTCGGTCGGTTTTGATGACGATGGGCTGGCTGTGTTGTGGGGAGTTGTTGATTGATGACCTAGCGTGGTTGCTTGGTCTTCATTGGTTTGGACCTTGTATTCAACATTCAACCAAGGTTTCACAGGATATATCAAATCAAAAGAGGTTACTATTCAATGTTATAGTTCTAAACATAAGCTAGTTGCATTGCTAACACTGTCGGGGCGTCTATAATACGTGGCTATCGACACAAACGCTGCGGACGCTAACATACACTTTACACCGGGGGAATGGATTCGCGGCAAATAGGACACTGGAGTCGGAGCCGCATCCAGCTCTCCAGACAAGTACTATGGAAAATATGCCGGCAGGGCGTGACCATGTACGTGCGCCGGCTGAGAATGCTCGACGCTCCGTCGGCCATGCCCGCCCCACCGGACGTGAGAACGGGCACCTCGATCTCCTGCATACAGATGGCGCAGTCGAACACCGCCTTCTTTCGGTCTCTCGAGCGATGTTTGTCGTCGTCCTTCGATTCGCTGGGGTATTCGCGTTCGTCGGCCCGCAGCGCCCCGATCGGGAGCACACCCCCGGACTCCAGATCGTCGCCCGACCCGACATTATCACGCAGGGTCGGGTGGTAATCGTACGCAGGAGGCGCCCATCCGCGGGGAACGAAGAAGCGCGGACCGAGAATGTCCTGGCTCCCAAGGATCCAGACTTGGATCCAGACCCAGCCGATCAGAGAGAGAGCCGTCGTTGCGTCGGGTCGGATGAAAAGCACGTTGCCACGGGCGGTAAGGAAGTAGAGGAACGGGAATAGTCGGAGACAGCTCTGGCCGACCACAAAGTCCCACCGCAGTGCTTTGCGGCAGTTGCGCATGACATTGCGGTAGATCTGAGGCGTCCAGAAAGAAAGATAGATGAACCCGAGTACTCGAGCATAAATAGCTCCGAGTCGGTTCGGCCAAAGGAAGGCCCAGATAGATATGATAAGCATCACGAAGAGGATGAAGTAAAACCGTGCATACATGGTCCCCAAATCACTTCGAGCGTCCCGCGCTGTCTGTGCAGTGCCGCGATTGGCGGGTGGTGCGTCTTCATCCGGAGCATCCTGATCTGGAGGCAATATGACAGGGGTTGCGCCCGAATCTCTGACCTGGGCAGCCGTCGCAGGAAGTGGCAGATTTGCCGGGCGGGCGTTTGTGGGGGCCCGCCGCTCCTGTTCCCGTCGTTCCGGAGCTTGAATGGCATAAATTTCCATCATGAACTTCATCCCGATGTAACTGACCGACAAGAAGGTCAGGAAGGACGCGGTCGTCATGACCAGGAACGATACCACCGGGTATAACTCCAAAAGAATGAAGACGAGGACAAAAGAATCTCCGAAGGCCATTAGGGCCATCGTGTAGAAGCTGATACGACTCCGGGTGGAAGGCGTCGAGGCTTCCTTCACTTGCCTTAATAGCAATGCGATTTGAGCAACGGAGACGGCCGACATGACAAAGATCATGCGAGCTGAGTACTTGGCGAATTCCTCTATCTTTGGGCCTGACAGATACAATGTCTCCGTGGGTGGGAACTCGGGCGCGCCCTTGGTTTCTAGGATGTAACCGCAATCAGGAGAGAACACCACGGCTGACATGACCATCAAAGGAGGTGATGGGATTGGAGCCCCAATGGGATATCTCAGCTCCTGCTCTATCTGCTCAATCACTGCCTTGTCGGCTAGATAGCCATGGATTGCGAGTGGGTGCTGCTGCAGGTAAACGATGTGTTCACATCTCGGCGCAGGAAACTCCATATGCTCACTGCCCGCCAAGGAGGACCAGGGGAAAAGGGTAGGAGGCCTGTTCTGCTTCTCAGAAATGGCATCCGATAATGATTTAATGAGAAGCTCATGAGTGAGTTTGTATGCATCAGATGAGAGACTAAGATGCGGCAATGTGAGGAGGCCCCCGAATTTCTCGCTAGTAGTACTCAGGATGATACCGCCAGTCTCTGGAAAATGTATACCAATGAGTGAGAGATACCAGGTATTGCCCCAAAAGTCACCACTTTCCACAGCTAGTGTGGCCCGGATCTCTCGGACATGGCCCAAAGACGACCGAAGCTCCTGTCCGCCTCCTTCACGTACATCGAGGTAGAATGTGCCACTGTTGCCGGTGACATTCTGGCTGAACTCATGCGTGAAGTACTCGTTTTCTTGAATGATAGCAGTCTTGTTGAGCGGAGGATGTGGCTTGTCCTGCTTGCGGCGCACCCATTCGCCGCGCAGCTTCCCTGTCGCATTGTGGTAGACCGGCAGCGACAGTTGCGTCAGGTTGAGATCCGAAAGTGCGTCAGACACTGCAAGGGACTTGGGAGGTCGGAGGCCTGCCTCAGTCATGACAGACCGCAGTTGAGACCGGGCTCTGTCCTGAACATCAGGGAGAAGGTCCCAGGCATAACTGTCGTTCTTGCGGACGCCTGGAAAAGGCAACCATTTATCGGCTCCCGGGTCAAAATCTCCATATTGAGTCTCGTTCAAGAGGCGAAGGGCATCCCGCTCCCTTTCCAGTTCCCGCTGATGCTCCCCATCTTGAGATACCAAGGGCGAACGAGACTGCGAGCTCAGGAGAAGATATAGGACGAACAAAAAGAAGAAAAGGGAGCCGCGGTGATCCATAGATGCCAAGGGGATGTAGGCATCGGAGTTGGAGGAGGGGAACTCCTGCAGATCAATAGAAATACTCAAGTTACTTTGTGTCGCATCGCCAATCTATGGCCAGAACAAGCGACACTCATTTAGAGCCGGTCATTAAGCTCTTGAGGAACCAAACAACGGGAGAATGATAATGATGATGGAAGATGGGAAGATGATGAAATGGGGAAGCGGGCGGAAGTCGATGATGCGCTGAGTGAGTCGAGGCCTGAGGCCCGCGCCGTTTTCCCCCCGCCTTTTCCGCGCGGCTTCACAACCGCCGGGCGACATTCTTCCCCTTCCCAATTGTCAGCCTCCCTGCTTCCCTGGAAGCTTGGTTTCCATCCCTCTCCGCGGTTGCGCCGTGTTTTTTTCCCTTCCATTGAGTTCCGGTCGGTGTAACGCTGCCTACGAAGTGACCTGCGTATCCCTTCAGGTCGATCGGCGCCGGCGCCCCATTCTTCAACGACTGTCGTGATGGCGTCGAATCTCCCCATCCCTATTCCTCCGCGTACCCCAACTCCGCCTGCGGATGACGGCCCTACCAGCGCGTTTGAGCCAGCTTCTACCCTCTACGACAAGGACTCGCTATCCCCATTGAGGGACACATTTACTCCCTCCAGGAGTACATTAGATATTAATGATCCCACTCGCCTGAGCCCGACGCGGGCAGCCTTCAACCTCAGTCCAGCCAGTGCTCGATCACCAGGCGATCAGAGCGACAATGTCCCGTCAGGCCCCTTCAATTTCCAGACAACCACTATGGCCAAGAGCCCCGTTGTCAAGTCTGTGAGTCTCCCACAATATAGTAAACAGTATGATTCATGGTCCTGATTGCCCTTGCCTATATTAAATAGAATATCGGACAGCGGCGCGGACATAAGTACAAGCACAGTAGTATATCGCATCAGATCTTCCTCGAGCCACCACCTCGAGCCCCGCTAGCATTACCCAACTCGTTACCTATCCCCACGTTCAAGGAATACCGATCCAGTATGTCTAAGGATCAGACAACCCGCTTCTGGTGGAGCCTGTGTCATATGTCTGTCGCGGCGTATACTTTGTGGAGCGCGCATGGCTCTTTGGCAATGACGGCGCTGTCGCATCTGATCCTGTTCGACTCCATCGGGGCTCTCCTCTGCGTCGCGGTGGACATCCTAGGTAATTTCGAGGTGTGGAAGCGATCCAGCGTGCGCCACCCCTTCGGGCTCGAACGAGCCGAGGTGCTCGCCGGGTTCGCCATGTGCGTGTTGCTGCTCTTCATGGGCATGGACCTGATCTCGCACAATCTGCAGCATTTCCTTGAGTCCGCTGGCCACGAGCCGCACCATTCTCACGTGCACGAACGCGTGTCACTGGGACGAGTGGATTTCACGGCGCTGCTCGCCATCGTGTCCACGCTCGTCTCGGCAATTGGTCTCAAGAACCACGGCCGCATCGGCAAAGCGATGCGTTTTGGGTATATCGAATCACTGCCGTCGGTTCTCAGCAACCCCTCCCACTTCCTGACGCTCTCCTGCTCGTCCCTCCTATTGTTGCTGCCGCTCGTCTCCATCAAGCTGTACAAATGGCTCGACGTGCTTTTGTCTGGCACCATCTCCATCTCGATGTGCGTCATCGGCGTGCGCCTAGTCAAGACCCTGGGGTCGATGCTGCTGATGTCGTACTCGGGCCAGGGCGTCACTGACGTGATGCGCGACATCGAAACGGATCCCTGTGTGCGTGGGGTCGATGATGCCCGATTCTGGCAGGTGCACTACGGCCTGTGCATGGCGAATCTGAAGCTTCGCGTGTCGGGCCCGGAGGAGAATCTGGCGCGGCTGCGTGAGCGGATTACCAGTTTGATTAAGAATCGACTGGGCGGGGGGTACGGGACTGGGGGACAGAAGTGGGAGGTGTCGTTGCAGTTTGCGGTTGAGAAGGCGTGACATGTGTAATCGATATGATTGTAAATTATGGACCGGACATACTTTGTTTTCTATACTGGAAATACAACCATTTTCGGCCAAGGTTATATACCGGGGGTAGGCATATGTGTGCCTCCACTGGGACACAGTGAAACCAGAGCTCCAATGCTGAAAGACCAACGTGCATGGAACCTCTTCTCTTTGATCCGGTTACTGAATCTACTATATACCGCAGATGGACATAGATATAGAATAGGTCACACATTCTCCAACCTGCACCGCTTACACCACACAATACGACCACTTCCCTGCCTCCCATGCGAACGCTCACCATCTAAGCCTCCTCATACTGTACATCACCTCCACCATCAATCCATACCCATGACCTTAATACCGGCCGCAACCAAAGAATCCCTACTCTCCCCAACCCCATTTCCCTTCCCCAAACAGCAAACAGAACACATGAATATAAAAAGCATAGAATTTATAGCATGATAAAAGAAAACAACACCACACACAAGCATAAAGAACCCAATCCAGATATACACAACACACACACACAAACCCCGCACATCCACTTTCCCACGTCCCTAACCACCCCACAGGAAGCAATCCTTCCTTCCTTGCTTTTTCAAATTCTTTCTTCAAGCCCCCGGGCAACCGCTCAAGCAGCAGCGGCCAAAACACTCTCCTCGACCCGGTTCAACGTGCCGTTCTCGCGCTCATCCCTCCGCCGGCGCTTCTCGAGGATCTGCTCGCGGCGCTGGGCGAGTATGCGGAGCTGGCGCTCCTCGACGCCCTGCAGCCAGTAGCCGAAGCTGCCGCCGACGCCGGCGAAGAGCGGGTAGACCCAGAGGGATTCGCGGGCGAGGATGGGCCGCATTTCGATGCCGAGTTGCCAGAGGCGGACGGCGATACCTGCATTTTGAGGATTGAGTCAATTGATTGAATTCGGAGACGACGGCTGAAAGTAGTGCATGCCCGTCCAATTGGGCTTTCAAAAGCTGTCTGCGTGGGATAACATACCGAAACCACCCCAGAAGAGGACTTTGTGAACCATGATTTGCGAGATGGGTGTGAAGGGAGGAAAGGGAGGGCGGTAATCGGAATGGGCCGGTTTCAAAGATTGTATCTGCGCGGGTTAAGGCGTAGATATGTCCGGCACACAGAGGAGAAGAGAGGGGGACAGCGCTCGAAGTGACGTTGCGACTGAACTTGGCTTTAATCCAACGGATACTGGAAAGTGGAGGGACGCCGGGATTCAACGACGGAGGTTCAGTTGTTGCGTCGAATCACGGGGCCGCAGTTCCCAATCGGGATACGGGTAATCGGGCAAGGAATTTATCCGATTGCTGTTCTTTCCGCTCGGGGCGACGAGACGGCCTGGCCCTTCATCAAACGCGCCCTCGCTCCAGGCGAGCGCAACTTTTTTTGATTACCTCCTTTTCCCCAGTTTCATTGATGATTTGTCTTTCTTGATACTTAGGAACTTTTATATTCAAGCACGGATTTACCTCCTGCTATCCAATTTAAGATCTGTCTCAGCTGCGCGCGCATCTGATACCCAGCCGACTCTCCGCGATGGCCGGTCCATTGGAGGAGACGGCAGATGTGTTGGCCCCAGCTGCTGGTGATGATGCCACCGCCGCTGCCGTTGCCGCCGCGGGCGTAAAGCGACCCCTGGACATTGACAGCCTCCAGCGCAAGAAGTTCAAAACCGATGAATTGCCCTTGACCGCTGCGCAACACGCCGCGATCGAGCATCTTTTACATGCATTCAAGAAGAGAGGTGGCTTCGACAATGTGCGCAAGAAGATATGGGCGGAGTTTGAGGAAGGGGTGCGTTTTTATTTTTTTCTGTTTCTTGTCCTCTTGTGGTTTCTGTTTGACTAATTCCGCGCCTCCTGTGCGCGCTCATGTAGGAAGGCAAAGCGGAATTTACGAACCTCCTCGCCGAACTTGCGGAAGCGGAGATCGATCGCGAACCTGGACTGTTGTCGCGGGAGCGCGGAAAGGCCGCGACTCTTATCGAGGGCGCCGTCGATCGGAGCGACGTCTACAAGACGGTAGAGAAGTCGCTGGATGCGCTTGCTTCGAATCATCTACAGACAATTCTGGATTCCGTGCGGGAGATCCGCCGCGATGAAGTCGGCGTGGAGGCCGCTGCCGAGGAAGAGAAGGCAGGTAACAAGACTGACGAGGACTATGCGAAATACATACAGCTTAAGCGCGATGAGCGCGAGAGAGCTTACCAGGAAGCATTGCGGAAGGAGAAGGAAGCTGAGGAGGAGGAAGCGCGCAAGAAGGCGGAAGAGGACCGCAAGCGACGCGAGCTCGAACGCCAGAAGGAGGAAGAGGAACGGGCCAGACGCAGGGAGCGCGAGGAGCAACGCCGGGAAGAGCAGCGCAAGCTGGACGAGCAACGAGAGAAGGAGCGCCAGGAACGATACGAACGCCGCCGTCGGGAAGAGCGCGAGAGATTCCGCGATTGGCGGGATCGCAGTCGAACCAGAGACCGGGACTCAGACCGCGACCGAGACCGAGATCGTTTTCGCTTGCGTGATCGCTCCCCCGGCTACCGCTCCGAACGAGGCCATTCTCCCCGCCATCGCGAGACTCGGAAAGAGAAATCGCCGACACCCAAAGAACCCACACCGGCCCCTGTGCCGCCTCCAGCCCCTGTTGACGAGAAGTCTCTGGAAGAGGCTGCGCTACAAATGCTGTTGAAGGAGGGAGAGGAGCTCGCTGCGAAAGCCCGACAGAAGCCCGAGTTCGATTTCGAGGAAGCCGAAGCGATTGAAAACGGACTCAAACCACCACCAAAGGGTCCCAAAGCACCCGAGTCAAGATACTCAAATACGCCCACGCGCGCGGGCAGTATCCCTACCGAAGGGGAAGCGGCGAAGCGGCGCGGCTCAGTGGATGACCGCGTACGGCCACGACGACGTGATGAGAGCCGCAGCCGCTCGAGAAAGAGGGGAATTCCGCCCCGGGTCGAAGATGACCGCCGGAACCCGTCGCAGGATGTGTCGAGTATGTCTCGCGGGCGCGACTCCGATGACCGAGCGCCTCCTCGAGACTATCGTGAAAATCGGTACGGTGACCGTAGCTACCGGCCCAGTCGTCGCAGCCGAAGCCGCTCGACCGTTCGAACCTTAGATCGTGATCGTGATCGTGATCGAGATCGAGATCGAGATCAGGTTGCAGAGCGCCCGCGATACCGCGAGAAAAGCTCAGAGAGAGATCGGGATCGCGAAAGGAATCGTGATCACGAGTATCGTCGAGATCGCAGTCGAGAAAGGGAGCGGGATCGCAGAGACAGGGATCGCGACAGGGACCGTGACAGGGACCGTGAGAGAGAAAGAGACCGGGATCGAGCTCGTGATCGCGACGATTACCGCCGACGACACAGCTACTATTCTCGATCCCGCTCTCGTCCACGGTATCGATCTCGATCCCGCTCACGGTCTTTACACAGAAATCGGGATCGCGATCGGGATCGAGAGCGTGATCGAGAGCGCGATAGGGATCGCGAACGAGACCGTGACCGCGACCGGGACAAGGACAGGGATACCAGAGAAAAGAGGGACGCCAGGGATACGAGAGACGCCAGAGACACAAGAGACGCCCGGGACCGTGATCGAGATCGAGAAAGGGATCGAGATCGCGATCGCGATCGGGACCGCGACCATGATCGTGATCGTGATCGTGATCGTGAGCGAGACAGACATCGGGATCGCGATCGCGATCGAGAGCGTGACCGCGATGGCAACGTCACCACCACCGCCACCCCTACCACCACCACCACCACCACCACAAGCAAAACCCCCATGAACCCTAACACCACCGCTGCGACCAGCATCCCTACCACGACTACCACCAACGACCACCACCACCATAGCCGGGGACGCGATCCCGATCGCTCGCGAGACCGCCCGCCGCGCGAGGACGAGAAATCCGCCCGAGTGTCCGTCTCCTCCCGCCGACGCTCGCGCTCCCGCGCCCGCCGCTCGCGCAGCCGTCGCCGCTCCCCCAGCACCCTCGACATCGACCGCTATGTGCCCCCGACCAGCAACCGCAGCCGGTCCCCACGGCGCCGCGTGAGATCCCCCGAACGGTCGACCGAGAAGGAGCGTGAGCGCGACGACCGTCCGCGCTTCGTGGAGATCGATCGCTATGTCCCGGGGGGTGGCGGTGGAGGCGCCGAGCAACAGCGCAGGCCGTCGGAGACGGCCGAGTCCACACCCGCAGCAGCACCAGCAGGAGCGTCAGCAACAGCATCCACATCCGCATCCGCAACAGCGGCAACGACTCCCCGCAAACCAGATCGGGAGACGGACGACCGGCGGCCATTGCAGCCTCCGCTGGCCCCTCCTCCTGCTTCTGCTTCTCTTCCTCCCCCGCAGGGTCCCAGGCGGCAGAGTTCCGGCCGCAATCGGTGAGTCCCGTGCCTATTTGTGATTGGAAGGGTGGATTATGCCGCCTTCCATTGTAACTATATCTTGTATTTCACATGGGCAATTTGCAATTGGCGTTCTTTGCATGGGTTGGCGTTGATAATATGGATGGCATAGGGTCGGAGGGGGTTAACCAAAAGAAATAGAAGCTCGGGTTGGGTTGAGTTGAGTACAATATGGGTTTGCTGGGTAAATGAGCGGTGCATTGTCTTCATTTTACCTATCACCGAGGTATATGGGAGATACCTTATTCATTACAGAATCAGGATTTGATTTCATGATGGGTTTGGGGCAGAACTTTGTTCTGTGAGAAATGAAACTATGTTTCGAATTCACATGGCTGAATAATACAGCCTCGAGCGAGGGCAAAGAAGTAAAAAGCCCCAGCTCTGCAATGCTAGGGTACATAAGTACAAGAGATGTGAGAAGTATGCAAACGCCAACTGGCTACTTTGTGAAGACATGAGGAAGAAAGAAGAGTTGGGTGGTGATCGAAGTCGAAATGAAGCTGAGGAAGAGTTACCTCACGTCACCGTACTCGCCTTCTCAACTGCCTCGGTGAAGCCGTCGTTCTCGGCATGCCGTTTGTAGAAGTAGGCGGTTGAGCCGGTCCCGGTGGGACGCAGTTCGGGTGACAGGCGGTCCAGGATGGTCTGCTCGAGGGCCTTGATGGAGCGTTCGTTGTCGCCGAGTTTGTTCCACACTGAGATGAGGTTGGAGTTAAAGCGCGCGGACGTGGAGACGCCGAGGACGTGGTCGTGTTCTGTTTGTTTTATGGGTCTTTGGTTAGTATATTTATAACATACATACTCTAAAGTTGATGTTTACTCGGAAGTATATCTCAGAGCCGGAACCAGGGGTCCGGGGTTTCTGGAGGCTGGGGGGCGGGGGGGAGCGGGGCAGCGGGAAGGGGAAGGAGCAAGCAGCAAACAGAAAACGGACCCTTCTCTAAAACAGCCTGGAACTCATTCGCCATGCACAGGATCGCTACCTCGTGAAAGAACTCCTGCGCCTTGTTCTTGGGCACCCGGAAACGCCAGCACCCGCCGTTGCGATTCTCCGGGTCCTCCCAAACGGGCCGCACGCCCTTGCGGAAGATATGCACGGTGTCGCGCAGGCGCACCTTGTCCCACGGGTAGTTGTTGTAGACGCGGTAGAAGGTGGCGATGTCGGAGACGTCCTCGTGCAGGAGGTACAGGCGTGAGTCGTAGTCCTGAGCGGCGGCTTCCTTGGTTGCGTCCGTGTGCTTGTCGTACCAGACGGCCCAGTGGTACTGGAAGGGGAGGGGCCGCAGCTTGCCGAAGATGTTCTGGTGGAGGGATTTGCGGGTCGTCGCGGAGGAGGGGGAGGTCGCTGCGGGGTTGGATTCCGACTTGATGGTTTGCTGGACCTTGGTCATCTCCTCGAGAGGACTGGTGGAGTTGTTGATGGAGATGGGCATCTTGGACGCTCTTGGTTATTGTATTCGGATGGTATAGATCGATCGGTTTGTTCCACGTTGGGATCTAGGACGATAGAAGCTCCGTGGTAGAGGTGAAAGAGCCGGTGATCATGCCAATGCGCAACGTATGAAGGAGCGCTGATAAATCAAGTAGCTGGCGCTGTGTATGGGAGATATAATGAATCTCTTATACTTGGGGTCAGCTGGTTCTGAGGAAAGACCGCACCGCCGGGATGAGCAGGGAGGACAATGAGAAGTATGAATGTGAGCTTGAATGAAAGACAACGGGTTTGGGGTCCAAGAATAGTGTTATTGGTACTGGGTCCAGCCGTGGCGAACAAAGAAGACATGGGATAAATTAAGAAACAGGGAAAGGTACTGACCCTGAAATGGTAAGCAACAGTGAATCTATTCCGAGATCTGGCCAGCCAACGAGTGGGGATGATGATGGACAACAACAGTTCGTCGTAGGGAAGGATAGCCACAATGAGGAGCAATGAAGAGCTCTATCAGTGAGGAAGAGGAGGGAGAACAGTTTAAAAAAAGAGAAATAAAACAGAGAACCAAATGAGCAGTGAATAGATAACATCCCCTGAATGCGGGAGGGTGTAGTGGATTCAGCGCATGGATCAAGCAAAGCCAACCAGCCAGCCGGGAAAGTGAGTCTGAAGGAAGGGAAGTACGAAGTTACGTCCAAGTAACTCTTCACAGAAGTAAGACAGACAAGAGAGACAAGACAGACGGACTGTCGAATCGCCTGCAGGGCGATCAAGCCGCTCGGAAAAGAGGCCTTGGCGATTGGTGAGCGCATGCGCCCCTCTTGCTGCCATCATTGTGCAGCACTAAGTAGATTAGATTGCCTGTTGTTGTTGTAGTTTAGTTTAACTTACTACTAGGTTACGGGGCAGTTACAGTACTTACACTTCCTCTCCCTCCTTCCCTCTTTTCTCCCTCCCCGCCCGCCCCCACTTCGGCGCCAATTCGATCGCCCGCAAGTTTCAGTCAATCATGAATTCATCCATTCGTCTTCTTTCCTCCTCTTAGAAAAAAAATCCACAACCACCACACCTCGAGCAAACCATCACAATGAGCGCGCCTTCCTCCAACTCACCCCGCGACGATCCCGTCGCATCATCCACCACAAACCCTGGCAGTCAAACAAATTCATCCGCCGGGCCTTCCCACCATAAGGCCGCCGCCGCCGCCGCCGCCGATGATAGCGACGACTACACCTCCTCCTCCGGCCCCAGCGACAGCGAAGAAGAAGAAAGTGACGACGACAAGGATGCCCCCGCGACCGCGACCGACCCCAGCGCACCCCGCCCCGCGCACAACCCCTCCTCTGCCGCCTCCGCGGACACCTCCATCCCCCGCATTCCAGCCCTCCCTAAACCCAACATCCACCGCATCCAGCAGACGCCCGACCTCCTCTCCCGGCTATCGGCCTTCCTGCCGCAGATGAAGACCGCCAACGAGCAGCTCGAGCGCGATATCGCCGCCGGCCGGGCGAAGGATATCCGGTTGGATGATGCGATGGATGAGGATGAGGATGAGGGCGAGAGAGAGGAGGATGGGAAGCGGTATATTGAGATGGTGGGTCTCACATTTCCTCTTACTCTGACACACAGATTTCTTGTTCGAAGCTGCATTTCTTTTCTACGGGGGAAATTTTTGGAAAGCTGACTTTTGCTATGATTAGAACCTCGGACTCGGCGTGCTGGAAGAGAAACGGCCGGACGATGAGATCTCGACCTCCGCGCAACCGGGCAACGAGGAGAGGGTGCTGGCTTCGCGGCCTAAGGACTCTGGGGTCTTGGATACTTTGATGGGTAATACGGATGCTGCGGCCGCGGCGGCGTCGAAGCCCACGATCGAGGAGTTGGAGAAGTGATTCCTATGTTTGCTATTTGTGGATCTTCGATTAAAACAGGTTGGGAAAAGTTATCTGGGTAGAAATCGGGGTTTTTTTTCGGGTTGCATGGCAAGAGGGCGTTTGCGGTAGGACTTTTATCTTGCTACTTCGTGCGGGTTTCCAAGTGTTCCTGAATTGGACTTTTTTTTTGGCTTGGCTTTTTCATCAAGCGGGTGGAGGCATGTTCTCGTGTTGACCTCCACAATTACGTTTATAGACTATTTTTGGACTAAACAATACTACGACCGAGTCTCAAATAATATCAAAATATTAAACAATTATGAGAAGTCTGATACATGAACCATATACAGGAATCCCAAGTCTACCCTGTTTAAGAAGAGATAAAAAAGAAGAAAAGGCAGAGGAAAAATGTGATATTGATTATTATACAGACCGCATCACTATCGTCCATTAGGACACCTCCTTGACTCGGCATGTCCAGCCAGACTCCTGGCTCAGGAGAGGCAAACTGCAAGAAGTTAGCAAATATCCATGAACGTTAGATCAGGTCGAATGGCTTACCTAGCGCCCAAGCACCAACCAAGCTCGTTGTTCTTGATTTTCTTGGCGATCTTGACCTCACGAGACAATGGCATCTCGTAACCCGTGTGAAGCAAACCCAGCATGAAGTTCAGATCCAAGCACCACTCAGGGCGGTCGAGGAGCTGAGGAATAGCGTCCTCGATTCCCTCAAAGATCTTCCACTCCGGCTTACCGGCGCAGACGGTCGAGGTGAGGTGATGCAGCTCATCCAGAGTGAAAGATTCCGGCATGCCCAAGGGCTTGGTCCGGTCATAGAAGTAGGAGAAGACATAGACATCTTCCCGAGCGAACGTCTTGGCCAGAGAGGGCTGGTGCACTCCGTTGAACGAGCAGGGGGCCAGCTTGCAGTCGGCTTCCTTCTTGAGAATCTTCTCGGTCAGACCCCGACATTGAGGTGCAGCCGAGGATCCTTCCTTTGGACCCACCATCTTGACGCTAACCTTGGGAGCGAGAGCGTGGCCGGCATCGAAAGACAAGTCAACCTTGCGCTCCATGCCAGGCCCAATGCAAGGGTTCGAGATAGGCTGATCCAGCCAGGCCAAGTCAGTGGGACTGGCAGCAAGCTTGGCCTCGACGATGGCCTTGTGCACCGCTTCTCGCGCAGCCATGAGTCCGTAGCCCAGGTGAGAGTGCTGGTACAACTCAAAGTGCCGACCACCAAACTCAAGATCATACCGGTGGTCACCCTCGGCCAGGTGCTCGGGCATGCCGCCGGACGGGCTCTTGGGGTATGTGGGCTGGAAGACAATTTGAGTAGAACCACCGCCGAGGTCGAAGATGGCAGCAGTAGGGGTCTCGTCCGGTCCGCCAATTTTGCCAAGAAGGTAATTGGTGGTAATCCAGGCGTAAACACCTTCATCCGAGCCATCCATGATTTCGACACCACCCTTCTCCCGCGACACGACAGGGAAGGGGTACACGGTCTCGAGACGGGTCCTGACGGCCTCAAGGATCTTCATACTCATCTCATTGCCAAGCATGCGCAAGCCCGCAGTGGCCTTGACAGCAATGGGTGAGCATGACCTGTACTCCTCAGGCACCGACTTAAGGGCCACCTGCATGAGAGGATCCAAACTCTTCGCCGCTCCCTCAGCATCCTCCTTGTAAGAGCTCAAGCCAGAGCCGCCTTGCCTCTTCTCCGTCTGCTCAAAGACCTCGTTCTCGAGCTCGGGGGTGGGGCCGCAGTTGTTGAAGCGGTAGACGTGAATCCGGGAGCCCTGGCTACCGGCGTCGATCATGAGCGCATACTGGATCAGGGGCTTGGAAGAGTCGTATGGCTTGGTGCACTTCTCAGTCAAAGAGGGTGCGCCAGTCGATGGTTTCTCTACAACCAGTGAGTCAGTCTCAATAGAATTTCCGGATGCGGACAGAGTGACTTACGGGATCCTCCAAAATGGCTCACGGAGGGCTTGGAGGGCGAAAGCCATAGAAGCATTAACAGAACAAAGCCAACAACCGCTCCGGTCTTCAAATAACGAGCTCTTTGTGTCTGAGCCATGGCGAACATTGAAAAATTGTTGGGTGGTTTAGAATCGGCCAGATAATTCGGATTGTCGGAAACTTTTGCGGGGGTGGAAGTGCGCGAGATCGAACGTCGACTAGTTCTAGAACCCGGTTTAGAGAAAGACGGTAAACCCTTGAGATGTCGGCTGTCAACTCCAGTCGACATGCGGACAAAGCCAGGGGGACGAAGCTATGGCGTTTAGGACAACGCTCCTGAACTCCGACCGAGTTGGACGAGAAGTAAAGATGGAAGTTAGCGGTCGGAGTGAATAGAAACCATAGGATCGCCCTAAGAACCTCTGGTCCAGCCCAAAAGGATCGTGGATAGGGTGAAAGGGGGGGGGAGGGACGTCGAACAACGAAGGGAAGGTATGAAAGTGATGGTCGTCAGGAGAAGAGGAAGAGGAGAAAAGAAAGAAAGTAAGAGGAGAGAGGGCGGAGTGTCGGGAAGAGAGAGGGACGGTACGGGAGTGGACTATGGGACACGGGGAGGCAAATGAGAGCGCGGGCGATCAACCTCTCGGCCTCTCAGCCTCTCAGCCTCTCAGCTTTCAGGGTCTCTCTCTGGTCTCCGCCCATTGTGGCGCCTGTCATTGTGGCTGGTGGGCGGTCAGCCTCAACTTCCCTCCTCTCTTCCTGTCACTTTGTCCGCATGCGTCCATTCTCATATCCCAAATTGTCATTATTGTCATTCACTTGCAGCCTGCTACGTCACCTTTATCTCCCAGGACGATTGAGCTGGTCTTTATCCTTCTGCTGCTCTTTGACTTCATTTACTCGGGTTAATCCGATCACAACATTGCGCTCGTCCATATTCCTGCAACAACTCCTGCGCCGAAAAGATGAAGCACATGCGCAGCCTCCTCTCGACGGCGCAAGTCCTGCGCCAGGTCTTCTTCCCGCCTCAGCGCCTCATCCGACCGCAGTACCTCCGCCCTCTACCCCTGGGCATTCGAACCATGAAATGGAACCGTAAAGATTCCCAAAAAACAGAATCGAAGGAGGCAAGACTCATCAAAGACGAGGCCATTGCATCGGAATGGGTCCAGATGGTGAACGATAACAACACTTTGGACCCCCCAATTCGACGCTCGACCGTTCTCAACAATATCGACCGTTCTAAAGCATTCTTGATCAAGGTCAGCGACGGAGTAGATGGCGCGCCGCCGGTTTGCAAGTTAGTGAACAAAATGGATCTGCGGGAGGCCGAGCGTGCCAGAACCAAGGCAGCTCACGTCACCAGAACCTCCTTCAAACAGGTGGAATTGAATTGGGCTATCGACAACCATGATCTTGGCCACCGTCTGAAGAAGATCACCGAGTTCATTACCAAAGGCTTCAAGTTGGAGGTTGTCTTGATGAGGAAGAAGGGCAAACGAGCCCCCACGGCGGAGGAAGTCAAAAACCTCATGGACAAAGTGGTGGAAACGATCAAGGAGGCCAATGGTATGCAAATCAAACCTATGGAGGGAGAGCCAGGGCGGGCAGTTACTATTACTGTGAGGAAGAAGCCCGACCAGTAGCCTGTTGATGCAGCTACCCCGGTAGAGAAGGTCACGCTTGTGTAAATCGGCCCGTATCTACAATTGTATTATATAATCTTTTCCTTACAAGAACGCAAGCTAGGCTTTGCACCTAGGAATTGTACAAGCGCTATCCACATGGTACTCAGTACTCTCAGACTGCGGTCAGGTGTATCTACTGTATGCTTCCAAGTTATTTGCGGGATGTTCCTGGCCGACTCCGCAATGCTGCGAGCATGATTGGCCTGAGGCTGAGTCAGCCGCTCCCTAGAATTTTCCGGGCTTGATTAAGGTCCTCCAAACCTTCCCGGTCCGGCTGGTTTTGATTTCTGTCCATCGCGTTCCATTTGGTTTCCCTTCCTGTTGTTGTTTTTCCATCGCAGGTAGCCATCATGTCGAGCCTTGCCAGAACTGCCAACCTCTTGCTGCGCTCCAGCCGGGCGTCTTTGTTGCGTCCCCGTGCTGTCAACCCCATCCAGCATGTCTTCGCCAAAGACAAGCTGGCTGCCCGCGGTCTGGCAACTGCTTTCGAGCGTACCAAGCCTCACGTCAACATCGGTATGCACTCTCCATCAGGTTCATTGATCTATCGTGCTTTCATACTAACCGATATTCAACAGGTACCATTGGTCACGTCGATCACGGCAAGGTTAGCACAATCTTTCTTTCCCATCACCCTTCCCTTTCCTCGACCTGGCACTTCTCACACTCGGAACCAGACCACTTTGAGTGCTGCCATCACCAAGCAGCAGGCCACCAAGGGTCTTGCCAACTTCCTCGATTATGGCTCTATCGATAAGGCCCCTGAGGAGCGCAAGCGTGGTATCACCATCTCCTCTGCCCACATCGAGTACGCCACGGAAGCTCGCCACTACTCCCACGTCGACTGTCCCGGTCACGCCGATTACATCAAGAACATGATCACTGGTGCTGCCAACATGGACGGTGCCATCGTTGTCGTTGCTGCTTCCGATGGTCAGATGTATGTTTGCCCTTCGGTTTCCGGTCATGAAATTGTACTCATACTCGTTTCTCTGCAGGCCCCAGACTCGTGAGCACTTGCTGCTCGCCCGTCAGGTCGGTGTCCAGAAGATTGTCGTCTTCGTCAACAAGGTCGATGCTGTCGATGATCCGGAGATGTTGGAGCTCGTCGAGCTGGAGATGCGCGAGCTTCTCACCACCTACGGTTTCGAGGGTGAGGAGACTCCCATCATCTTCGGCTCTGCCCTCTGCGCTATCGAGGACCGCCGCCCTGACATTGGTGCCGAGAGAATCGACCAGCTTCTCGAGGCCGTCGACACCTGGATCCCCACTCCCCAGCGTGACCTTGACAAGCCTTTCTTGATGTCCGTTGAGGAAGTCTTCTCCATCCCCGGTCGTGGTACTGTCGTTTCCGGCCGTGTCGAGCGTGGTCTTCTGAAGAAGGATAGTGAAGTCGAGATCGTCGGTACCACCAACGAGGTCATCAAGACCAAGGTTACCGACATTGAGACCTTCAAGAAGTCCTGCGATGAGTCCCGCGCTGGTGACAACTCCGGTCTCCTTCTCCGTGGTATCCGCCGTGAGGATATCAAGCGTGGTATGGTCGTTACTGCTCCTGGCAGCGCCCGTGCCCACGACAAGTTCATGGTCTCCATGTACGTCCTGACCGAGGCTGAGGGTGGTCGTCGCAGTGGATTCGGTGTTCAGTACCGTCCCCAGCTGTACATCCGTACTGCTGATGAGGCTGCCGAGTTCAGCTTCCCCGACGGTGACCAGACCCGCCGCATCATGCCCGGTGACAATGTTGAGGTCGTCGTCAAGACCCTCCGCCCCCTGGCTGCTGAGGCCGGTCAGCGCTTCAATGTCCGTGAGGGTGGCCGCACTGTCGCCACTGGTCTGGTTACCCGTGTGTTGGACAAATAGACAGCTGGGACCGACTGGCTACCATGTACTATGAACAAAATCTTGTCTGGGAATTCTTATAATGTTTGCACCATCCTTGCGGCGCGGGTATCAGCGAAGGAATGAATCTGGGAATACTGGATTCACTCGTGATGGTGGGTAGTTCCGGAGTTTTCGAGACATATCTATGTATCATGTATTGTATTTGAATTATTTGTAGACTCGTTATACCTTCTCCTCTCTTTCATTCTTTTCTTTCTCTACTTTTTTTGCCTAGGGATGCCAGTTTGAACATGACATTGAACATGTAAAGGAATGATCTATCGTACGATCCATAATTATGAAGGCACGGGCATGAAAATGTGGGCTCCACCTCCTCGTCTTCCATAAATTGGGTCGGACAGGATCACTGACAACCCCTAAACCCAAAGCAGCAAAAACCGGGATCGGGGGGGTGGGCGGTGGCGGCCTGGATGCTCAGGCGACGAGTCCACTAGACAGGACAACTGACCAAACAAGAAGAGGGAAAGGGTCCCCATCCGGCTCTCTCCTCCTGACCTCCAGCCACTCTACGCTTCCGCTTCCCAACAACACATGAACTAAACTCCCTCCCTCTCTGATCAGCGGGGCGTTCTCTCTTTTCTCTTGCCTTGTGATTGTGCTCCCCGTCTCCCATGGTGATCGACTTCTGACCTCATTTTACTGTCGGTTCCCTCCTTGCATCCTGCCTCAATCCGTTTCGTCTCATCTTGTACTACTACTTCCTCCTCTCGCCACGGTCTCCGCATCTGACGTTCCCTATTCTATTTGCGCTTTAATTAGTAGTGCTTTACTACGACTCGCCATACTATCACCCATACTCCTCCAGACAAACAGTCGTACATCAAACTAGAGCACGCTTCAGTTTTATCGTCGGGCGCGCCGCACCAACGCTAGTCATTCCGTCATGGCGACCAACGGCCATTTTGCCTCACTTGGCAACGGCAGCAGCGACAAGACTGCATACGAGCATGGCGTGCAAGTGATTGACGGCGATAAAGAGTTCAAGTATGCTGTTCCATTTTTCCCCTAGTGTCTTCCTGGGTCGCAATCTGTGGTTCGATCCCACGTACATCTGGGCTTGCGATTTCCAAGTTGTTCTCGTAAGGGGACGATGCCACCTGGCGTGCACCTGGCGCATTAGGCTAACCTCAAAATAATTACAGTCCCAATCTATCGAAATACCTAAGTCTTGAAGATGTCACCCATGCGGGTTTCAACTATCACCTCATTTCCGTGTTCGGGTCCCAGTCGACGGGCAAGTCCACGCTATTGAACCACCTCTTCGGTACGCATTTCTCGGTCATGTCCGAGCTGGAGCGTCGCCAGACGACCAAGGGTATTTGGTTGTCGAAGAACAAGAACGGCGGGGACAAGTCGATGGCGGATAACATCCTTGTGATGGACGTCGAAGGTACAGATGGTCGCGAGAGAGGCGAAGACCAGGACTTCGAGCGCAAGAGCGCCCTCTTTGCGCTGGCGACCAGTGAAGTCTTGATTGTCAATATCTGGGAGCACCAGGTTGGTCTGTACCAGGGCGCAAACATGGGACTGCTGAAGACGGTCTTTGAGGTCAATCTGCAGCTGTTCTTGAAGGACCGCAAGTAGGTTTCCTTTGTTGGAACCAGGTTACCCTTACACGCGCTAACTGCCCTTCGTTTGTTTGATATAGCACTACTCACCGATCTCTCTTGTTCTTTGTGATCCGTGATTTCGTTGGCAATACGCCCCTGAAGAACCTGCAGAATACTTTGATGGAAGATATGTCCCGATTGTGGGACTCGATCTCGAAGCCCGCCGGTTTGGAGCAGTCGTCCGTCCACGATTACTTCGATTTCCAGTTTTACGGCCTTCCTCACAAGAGTTACCAGCCTGAGCAGTTTGTTGCCGAGACCAAGAAGCTCAGCTTGCGTTTCCGTGAGGACCACAAAGATCCGGGTCTCGATCCCCGCAGAGGCGAGTTTTCCGATGGTGGCGTCTTCCTACCCGAGTACCACCGCAGGATCCCCGCCGATGGTTTCTCTAAGTATGCGGAGGGCATCTGGGACCAGATTGTCAACAATAAGGACTTGGACCTTCCAACCCAGCAGGAATTGTTAGCGCAATTCCGCTGCGACGAAATCCTTCGGGAGGTCATGCTCGCCTTCGACGAGGCTATTGTTCCCTTTGAGGATAAGCAGTCGCAGGCGGCTCGTCTCGGTGAGCCGGAGATTCTCGGTGGTTTGGGAGCCGCCATGCGCACCTCTCGCAGTAAAGCGTTTAGCAGTTTCGAGACCGAGGCCAGCCGCTACCACAAGGGTGTTTACCTGCGCAAACAAGCAGAGTTGGAGGACAAGATTGATACTCGCCTGAAGGCACTCTTCCAGGGTCAACTTGATGCCATGCACAAAACTGGTATTAATGAGTTCACTGAGGCTGTCTCCGGCACTGTCAAGGCTGGTCAGAAGAAGGGTACTGGCTACGACTTTGCAGAGATTGTCAATGAAGAGGTGTCTAAGGCGATTCAGAAGTTTGAGGAGGTCGCGCGCGCCACTGTTGTTGAGGGAACTGCCTGGAGCGATCACCAGCAACAGCTGTCGCTGTACGAGAAAGAGCTGGCCGATGTCAGCGCACGGTTGCGGCGGGAGGAGATGCGGCGGCTGGCTAGTCGAGTTGAGCGGTGGGTCCAGTCTCGTCTGGGAGAGTCGGTTGGTCTGGAATTCAATGCGCTTGGTTCTGGACGCGCCGGCGGCGGTGCACCTGAAGAGGGGGACAAGCCTGTTGAGAAGAAGTTCTGGGACCGGGTCTGGAATGTGTTTGTGGAGACGGTCCTTGATGCCGAGCGCAGATTTACCGACCGCGCTAGTAGCTTTGATGCCAGTTTGGAGGAGGTTGATGTTGGTCTTTGGCGGCTGCGCCGGAAGTCCTGGGGCGTGCTACGGGCCAAGATTGAAGAAGAAATGTTGGAGGGCAACTTGCTGCTGAAGCTGCGCGAGAACTTCGAGGACAAATTCCGCTATGACGAAGCTGGTGTCCCCCGGATCTGGCGCCCTACCGACGACATTGAGGGTATCTATACGCGGGCTCGCGAGTCGACTCTTACGCTTATTCCCCTTCTATCCCGGTTCCGTCTCGAGGAGACGTCCGCCCCGCCTCCGTTGGATCGCTGGATCGGTCACACTCCCAGCTCTTCGACCCCGGCGGACGAGGAGGATTTGCCACCGATTGGAGGCGTGGATGAGGAGGAAGGCAAAAGTCTAGAGGAGGAAATGACGATGCTGAGCGAGGGCAAGCGTCAAGAACTGACGGTGCGGTTCAAGAAGGCGGCGGATGGAGTCTATGTCGAAGCCAAGCGGAGTGCCATCGGGGGCATGACGCAGGTTCCGCTGTATTTCTACGGTATCCTCCTCGCGCTCGGCTGGAACGAGATCATTGCTGGTAAGTGCAATTTCTGTGTTGCGTACGAAAGATCACCACTAATTCGCCACAGTGCTTCGCAACCCGGCCTACTTTTTCCTGCTGTTTGTTTGCGCAGTGGGCGCATATGTGACCTATCAGCTTAACTTGTGGGGCCCCATCATGAAGATGACGGAGGCTGCCTCGAACCAAGCCATGGTGGAGGGCAAGAGACGACTGCGCGAGTTCCTTGAGTCGTCGGACACAGGCCGTCAGGCAATCGCTATGTCGACGCCGGGCGGTGCTGGGCGAGGTGAACAGCACGAGATGTCCCGCCTCAACAAGCAAGGACAGAGTGTGCAAGAGGATGAAGATGACTTGTGAAAGGGGGGGGGGGATATTATTTCAGTTGCATTCTTGTATTCCATTATTGTGTATTGTCATTGTCTGAATAGATATTATATCACAGCCTCGAAGAGCTGTTTATGTACACCGCACAGTCCATGTTTAGAGCTTGGCTCTCACCCGGACTTGGTCCGATTCCCCGCCTTTCTCCATAACGCCCCCTCATTTAATTCTCAAGTCTCCGCACTTCTTCGAAGTGTAAACTACTTCCCTGTTGGTATACCACCTGCTACCTCAATCCTTGGATAACCTTCTATGATGTCGGAATTCAACATCCCAGAGAAATACGATGACCTACCGGACAAGCGACGATACTGGCCGGCGGCGCCGGGGTCTCGCGAAGAGGGACTGGGCATGCTACGACTATTGACTCCGGAGGTCGTCGCCAACGCTGCCCAAACACAAATCCGGACTGGCGAGCGCGTGTGTTTAAATTGGGATCTCGAGAAGCTGAATCCTCCGGGTTAGTGCCTGGCTTGCGGGGTTGAACCCCGGCAATAACTACCTTACTATCTGTTTACACCGCATACTAACTACGTCATCGCATGGCCCACAGGCTTCAAGCGTAAGCCCTTCGAACACAAAGTGAAGTGGGTGGCGGAGGGCGTTGCCTTTGACGACGAATATCACTTCAATCCACAGCAATCCTCACAATGGGACGGACTGCGTCACCATAGTGCGCCGCCGCCGCCGCCGCCGCCAGCTGGCACAGAGGAGGACAGCAGTAGTCGCACAACATCAACCACCAACACCACCACCGGCAGGGCGAACGAACAGGTGTTCTATGGTGGCACGACGGCGGCCGAGATCCTGGACCCCAAGTCCGCGCGCATCGGCATCGGCCACTGGGCGAAGGAGGGGATCGCGGGCCGCGGGGTGCTGATCGACTACTGCAGCTGGGCGCGGGAGCAGCGCGGGGTGACGGTGGACGCGCTCAGCCGGCACGAGATCTCGCTGGACGAGGTGCAGACGATCGCGCGAGACTGCGGCATCGAGTTCCAGCGCGGGGACATCTTCTTCCTGCGCGTGGGCCTGCCGGCCACGTGGGACGCGATGGGGGACGAGCAGAGGGCGGCGTACAGCCGGCAGCCGACGCCGCAGCATGCGGGGCTCGAGCAGAGCGAGCGCGTGCTGCGCTTCCTCTGGGACCACCACTTCGCCGCCGTCGCGTCCGACGCCGTCAGCTTCGAGGTCTACCCGCCGCTCCGGCCGGAGTGGGACCTCCATCACTACCTCCTGGCCGGGTGGGGGTTGCCCATCGGCGAGATGTTCGATCTCGATGGGCTGGCGGAGATGTGTCGGCGGCTCGGGCGGTGGACCTTCTTTGTCTCGAGTAGTCCGTTGAATTGTGCGCAGGGCGTGTCGAGTCCGCCGAATTGTATGGCTATTTTTTGAATGCGGAGGTTGGATTTGAAGTTGAAGTTGAAGTTGAAGGTGAAGGTGAAGGTGAAGCTGTTATGGTTTATGGTTATGATGGGTTGGTTGATGGTGGAGGGATGGCTGGATGAGATAAGCACAATCCAACCTCCACGCGCCTCGGCTTAACACGTTATCTCCATCGCGTCTCAATTTGGGAATCGCATCTCTCAGGGGAACGAGCACCTGGTTTTTTTTTCGCGGCGGCAGGGTTTCGACTGTCATTCTTTTCTCTTCACACAGGCGGTATTGTCGTTAGTTCCATCTGTCTTCCTGAGACGCCTTGACGCTAGCTTGCTTTTTTCCATTAATGGTACCTGGGATCTATAGCATAGCTAGCTAACTAGCGATAATCGACTACCAGCAACATGGCTTCCCTGTCCACTCTTTCCCACCTCCTCCAGGAATGCATTTCATCTCTTCTCACCTGGAAAGCACTAGCCCTGTTCCTCGCACTGATCAATTTGAAGAACCTCCCTCTGGTCTGGCATGTAAGTGCATACATACACTCTTCCCCTAGCGCAGTCTACAAACAACATCGGCCTTCAATCAACCAACCGCCACAACAACCTCTCCATCACCCTCAAAAAAAGCAGCATACTAACCTCACCCCCTTTCAAAAATAGGCCCGCCTCGCCCACCACCTCTATCGCAACATCCGGCGCACCCCGCAAGACCCGCACCACCCGGCGTCAACACACCCGCCGCCGCACGCGACGCACCCGATCTTCCTCCCGCTGACCATCAGCTCGCGCACCCCGATCCTGGAAACCGACTACAACTTCCACAAGTCCAACAGCACCTACTTCTCCGACCTGGACATCGCGCGCACCGCCCTGGCCACCCGCATCTTCACCCCGGGGTCGCGCATCGTGAACCGCGAACTCGATGCCGAAGCCGCGGCGGCCTCGTCAGCATCAGCATCGTCCGGCGGGAAGGAGAAGAAGCAAGGACCCAAAGGCGGAAGCAAACTCGGGCTGTACATCGCCCTGGGCAGCGTGTTCTGCAGCTTCAAGCGCGAGATCAAGCCCTTCGAGCGGTATGAGATTACCTCGAGGGTGATCAGTTGGGATGAGAAGTGGGTGTATATGATTAGTTATTTTGTGAGGCCGCAGGCCGGCAAGAAGGGGAGGTTGTTGGCTACGGCGCTGAGTAAGTATGTGGTCAAGAAGGGACGGGTGACGGTGCCCCCTGAGAGGGTGCTGAGGACGAGTGGGTTCTTGCCGGAGAGGCCGGTGGGGTCTGTAGGTTCTGGGAGCTTGACGCCGGGGGAGAGTGGGAGTGGGAGTGGGAGTGGGAGTGAGGAGGGGCAGTTGCTGGATGAGGGGATTACGGCCACGGGGACGGCCACGGGGGTGGATGCGGCGGTTGTGAGAGAGGTGTTGTTGGATGCTGGGAATGGTGATGAGGCGGCGAAGGAGGAGCAGAGGGAGAGGAATGTTCATTCGTGGAATGAGGAGGATTGGCCCTGGGAGAGGATCGAGGAGGAGAGGCTGCGTGGGTTGAAGGTTGTGGAAGGGTATGCTAGGTTGGATGCGAAGTTGTTTGAAGAGTGGGGTGGAGAATGAGTGATGGTTTGCATAGAGTTAGACTTAGATTTCGGGCTTTCTCTTATGGGATTCGATGTAGAATGTATGATTTCAGCATGGCTGGGGGTGATGGTTGGTCTTGATATTGCAGTTCGCTGCATTAGTTGTTGCACAAGAAGGGATGCTGTCGCTGGCTATGAACGTCTACGGGCTCGAGGAAAGTATATATAATCAGTGTATTCTTTTAGCAGGCGTGCGAGACCTATAGAACTTCAACTCAAGCAAGCGATAGCCAGAATGGATCACCTCCAGCTAATCTGTCCGTTAGCAAGTTCGACGCAATACCCTCCCCTTCGTAGTGGAACTGTTTATCATGACTCCATGGTCCAGACTAATTCTGGCTCCACAACAGAATCGCGCTTGTCAACCGTCTTCATGAATGCTGGCCACAAAGACCATCGAACTATAGAGATTGGTTCCTCATCGCCCCCACCAAGAATCATAGACTGAGGATCAAACATTACTCCCAGTGGACTGCAGCAGAAGAAGAACCGTTGTTTCTGCTGGCTCAAAGCATGCCTGAGATCGGCGCATTTCCACGGCAGTCCTCGAAGCTGGCCCTGTCTTTGTTCTTCCTGAGTGGAAGAAAAATCCGCGAGTATTCTTTCAGCGTCCCGGACGATGCGGCTGATCACACGCTCGCATCGACGACCTGAGCCCGCCTGGATTGCCACGCTTGTAGCCATCCTCCACACACTGAGCTCGATCTCGGAGTTGATTCAGCCGGCGCATCTGATTCACAATCAGATCATCTCCCAATAGCTTGAACGGGCCAGTCTGCAGAGCATTCAGCTTGGAATACAATCGATCGAGCTCTTCCCGGTGACGTCCGCCCCTCTCCGTCGCTTCCTCACGTGCCTGGAGCAACAGGCGTTCTTATTGCTGGATTATCTCGCGGTCTGCCAACCGCTGCCTGACTAGAGCTTGGTAGCGCTCTTGCCAGACTTGTTCTCTCCTCTCTTTCTCTTCCTCTTCCCTCCGCACCGCTGCTTCTTGCTTCGTCAGCTGCACTGCTGTGTTTATCTGATGCATGGATTCGGCTTCCTGCTTGCCTATCATTTGCCGCTTGACATCCTCCTTTGACTGCGAGAGAGGAAAGTGTGTCATGTTCTGAGCTTCGTTTAGCGTGGTGACGGAGCAGGCGGATGGTTTAAATTATCACTCACCAGATGCGCTGGTGCCGTTTCACTGCCCAATCCCTCGACTGGCTTTGATTCTGCCAGCATTTTATTCTTCACGTATGTCTCTTCTTGCTTGATTGCCGGGTTGGGTTCTGGCCCACCACTTGAGTTATGGACAAGGACCATTGTTTCTGTTGAGGGTGGGTAACCTACACTTGGGTTTTGCTATGCGGAAGGTTGAGAGTGGCAGGAGAAGTCTTTGGGATGACCATCACAGAATTTCGACTCACCGACTCCAGCAATTCCGCTAACTGACGCAATCCGCGCGTACCAAACTATATCAGAGGATTGATCCTCTTGTCATGGTTGCGACTGCTCTCGGAACGGATCGCTACCGCCTCCATCATGCCTCGAAGAAGTGCAGGGCTTTTTGTGTCTGGCCATTTCCTTCTTCCCACCTCCAACTCAAACCCTTCACTTAGTCTGATTCCATCTACCCGACACGCAACAGCAAGATGGCGCAAGGACCTTCGATTGTCGTTGGGGTGGATTTCGGGACAACCTTCAGTGGGTGTGTATAACACATGCATGGGACTCTCCTATAGTATGCATGCTTACGTGGAGAGTAGGATTGCTTGGGCTTTCTAAGGATCAGCCGATGAGGTCGAGGTGTTGTCCACCTGGCCTGGTGGAGGCAACATTATGATCACCCCCGCAGCTGTATCAACCGAGAGACTATGCTAAGAGCTCATTCAAAAAGGCACCTCGATGAAAGTACCCTCAACTATATCCTATGGAACCCGAGCCACCAGCTGGGGCTATCAAGTTGGCCCATTCATGGAAGCCCTCAGCGGCCTCAAGCTCCTTCTCGACGAGGAACAGGAGACAACCTACCCACCGTCCCTCTGCTCGAAGAAATTGCTCGCTATTCTTGACAAGGATGCCGTCCATGTGACAGCGGACTACTTGAGACAACTTATCAGATACGCCCAGGGCGTCCTGGAGCGTCGTCTGGGGATAGCTGCGAGTGCTATGAGTTTTCAATTCATTCTCACTGTACCAGCTGTTTGGTCTGACAAAGCCAAAAATTGCACCTTGCGCGCCGCTCTGAAGGCAGGGATCTTCCTCAGGACGTCTCGCTCGTGTCGGAGCCCGAGGCTGCTGCCCTTTACTCATTACGCACCATCCAACCTAGCTCAATTGCTGTATGCTGCATGCCAAGCGAGTGTGATTATAACGTGACGACTGACGGTCTACAGAAAAATGATGTGTTTGTTATTTGTGATGCCGGCAGTGGCACAGTGGTGAGTTTAGCTGAAGCATTAACTCCGCCACAGCGATGGCTAATTATGTACTAGGATCTTATCTCATACCAGATTCAAGGTTTAGAGCCGCTTGTAGTGAGGGAAATTGTAAAGAGAGCAGGTAAGCTGAGTCTTCACCAAGTGACGTTACAGTAGCATCTGATAATTTGTAGGCCGTATCTGCGGGTCAATGTTGTTGGATGAAAGCTTCGAAAGGATGCTTGAGGAAAGACTGGGACCCACAGGTTACGATGCATTATCCGATAAAGCTAAAGACACTGCATTAAACTATTGGCAAGATCGAGTCAAGCCTAACTTCGCAGGGAAGTACGACGAGGACTTCGACGACGTTGACTATTTTATTCCAGTTCCAGGAGCGCTTGACGACCGCCTAGCATTGGTTGAAGATGGGTTTCTTTACCTCACCAGGTCTGTGGATATACCATAATCTAAGCTAAGACGAGCGACATTGAAACATGTTTTGACTGGTCTTAGTGAGGATGTAACAAGTATTTTTGAACCCATCGTCAAAGAGGTAGAATCTCTTGTTGCAGAACAGATAGAGGGGCATAGGAGAGAATAAACTCTACCCAAAGGTTATCGAAATCTCGGCAACAAAATGGCTTAAGGGTGTGCTGACAATTTCTCCATCAGTCAATTATCCTTGTTCGGGGTTTTGGTGCCTCTATGTTCCTTTTCCATCGCTTACAAGAAGCAAACCCTAGTGTGCTTGTCATGCAGCCACCTGACGCGTAAGTCTATCCACACTTTCGGGAGGACAAGGGCTAACTCGGTGATACAGATGGTCAGCAGTAGTATGGTTCGATTATCCTTCTCTATGTTCAGCCAGGATCGCAAGCTGATGGCCATATAGCGGTGCTGTACATCGAGGACTCGACGGTAACCAGGTAGAAAGTCGCATTGCCCGCCGCCACTACGGCGTCAGATGTCAGAGCCCTTATGTCGCGGGCCAACACAATCCCAACGATATGGTATGGTGCCACTTGAACGTAGAGTATAAAGTCCATAACTGTATGAATTGGTATATAAAGAAGGTATTCGTTGAGAGATGTTTCCTTGGCATCTACATCCACAGACTCAACCGTGCTAATCGGTCTAGTCCTCGATTGTATTGGAGAACAAACCAATCAGAGTGTCATTTTACCGTTTACTGGAAGCAAGTTCAGAACACGGCCTGTGTGTGAAGGAAGACCTTTTGTTCTCCGACAGTGACAGAGCCCCAGCCGTGAGCAATCGTGAGTGTCGCACAGGTAAACATTAGTCTTTGTTTTACTTACGAGCCACAGAGACCATGCGGCTATGCACCGTGGAAGCAGATCTCAGCCGGATTCCTAGGGAGCTCTTTGTTAAGAAGTGCAATTCCAAGGGCGTCGAGTACTATGAGGTTCATTACGATTTAGTCATGATTCCTACATCTGCTTCTCTGTTGTTCGAGCTGGAATTCAACAGGGTGCGCTACGGCAGTGTTCGCTCAAAATACTGATGACCAATGGGCCGCCGAGGCTCGGTGCCATTTGCTGCATTTAAGTGCGTTGCTTGGTAGACTTATAGCTTTCCGTTTGCTTCGCTGGGTAGATTCGCTGGGCAGAAGAGATTCCGAATTATAAGATCTTGCTTAGAGCCCTTCTTGTGAGGAGCCTTATGTGTAATAATGAATCATGAGCTGCTCTGCGGTGCACGGTCTACGCGATGGTCTACGCGATAATGGATTTTTCGGGTCAATCCCCAGCAATTGAAGGGGGTGACTCTACTGTTGTGGAGAGTATCAATTGTCTTAGGACTTTAGGTTGTTGATGGTAATGAATCTTTCCCTCGAACCGACTTTTCTCAGTGATAAATACAACAGAGGTAATGAGTGCAGGATCTTGTGCCTTTATACCTAATTACTCTCCATGAGTATCTCAGCCAAGAAACTCAGCGGAGAGACCCTCAAGAACTTGGATAAGGAAGTCAATAAGAATGAAAACCCTAATAGCAATATGTTCAGCGTCATAAAACTCGACAGCTCTACTGTAATAGTGTGCCGCAATTCATTTTCTCGAAGAGACTAGATCTAGTGTTTTGTGCTAGCCGAAGTGAAATCCGAGGGACAGTTGCACATAGAACTTAGAAGTGAGATAAACAGACTGGGAAACAATTATTCCGAGTTAGAGAATAATTCATTGGAAGAGAAATCGAACACAGTGATCAAGACTGCTGTTGTTGTGTGAGACATTGAGACTGGTAGTGCTATGCTGAACATACAAAAAGCTTCTTTTTCCGAAGCTTATCCCCCTGATATGTGGAACCACTGATAAACAGAAGATAGGAGATAACAAAGTTAAGATGGAATATAAATCTCTTGTTGATTATACAATAATTATATCAAAATTCATTTCTCACGCCAAAAGCGGTATGACTCACCCGTCAAGCTTACTATCAGTCATCCATTCATGCCACGCATTTTATCAACGAAGCCTCTTTTGCATCTCATCCAAGCCCAACCATCACAGCCAACATTAAACGCATTCCGTCCATCATGCTCATCAAACTCGACGACCTCTCCAGCCCGGAGACCCGCGCCCTCCTGGCCCTCCACATCGCCGATCTCCAAGGCAAATCGCCCGCCGAGTCCTGCTACGTCCTCGACCTCACGGCCCTCCAACAGCCTGCGATCTCCCTGTATACGGCCTGGCATGGCCCGAACCTCCTCGGCTGCGGCGCACTGAAAGAGCTCTCGCCAACCTCAGGCGAAATCAAGTCCATGCGCACGGCGGCGGCACATCTCCGCAAAGGTGTGGGGCGCGCCCTCGTGCAACATATCATTCGTGAGGCGCGGAGAAGGGGGTATGTGTGCTTGAGTCTGGAGACGGGGACTGACGGGTCGTTTACGGCAGCGAGGGAGTTCTATGCTGGCCAGGGGTTCGAGGTCTGTGAAGCGTTTGGGGATTATGTTCCCCGTGCCGGGAATTGGTTTATGACGTTGAGGTTGGGTTGAATGGAATATTGATTTGTGTTGAAACAATAGCAAATCGTTGAATGATTCCGTAATGACGCCCGATCTAGGCTGTGCTAATAGTACTTGTGCAGGGTATCAAGCTCACAAAGGGGTATGTAGGTAGTTACCTAGCGAATAGAGCGCAGCTGCGACGACTGAGATTGGAAGTAGCTCATGTATGTGCTTGATTGAAGAGAATAAGCTCAACGGTTGTCCTGGATGTATGTGAGCCAAAGTGTTCGGTCTGTCGCAAGATTGACACATGCGCTAGTCAATTAGGCGATTGTTCCCGACGAGCACATGCTCCAGTCCCAACATTTGTATGGAAGTAAAAGGCTATAGAACTTGAACTTCGACCTTGACTTTACCAATCAAGTTACTTAGGGCTTTGCGCATATATCTCTGCTATTTACACCGTCTCTACATTCCAGATGAATCCCAAGTCAATGGGATATCCACAGGGATCAGATCCCCCCTCTCCATCTCACCACTCGAACCCCTGTCATCTTCGAATGTAAGACCGGTCGATTGGTTCTATAAATGGCTCTCAGCTCGGCGATAAACTGATAAGGCGTCGGACAGTCTTTATTTAAGTTACAAGCGCCTGCGCCTTTCGTGACCCCCAAACCTCTGGTCTCTATTTCATCTATGCTCGTCTCCTCGGAAGCTCAATCCCCAGACATTATGACCCGCAGTGAACCAACCATATACCCAGGCAACTGCCACTGCGGTACCGTGCGCTTCGAGATCCATCTCTCCGGTCCATTTCAGACGACTTTCGCATGTCCGTGTAGACTCTGCGCGAAAACAGGCTGTCCATGGATCTTCGCCCAAGACGATGAGCTGAAGTTCACCAGGGGGCGCGATACCCTAGCCAGATACAAGACGCAGAAGGGGGAGCATGAGGTGCGCCCAATCACCTACGAGGGATATAGGTTCGTGACCCTAGTGATTTTGACTTTGTCCACTTCCCACGTTAACGTCTGTTCTAGTTCTGTGCTACATGCGGCACCCAAATCACAGTCCGCAACCACCTAATCGTCTCAGGCCAGGCTGGTCTAGGTGTCAGCGTGAGGCTTCCGACCCTTTCCCCTGCAAAATGTCAGTATGGTAAGGTATCGCTAAGACGATCCCCTGGTAGGCACGGGCATTGCTAGACGTGAATCCGTTCCATCTCTCCGTGACCACGTAAGCCACTTTTCTCAATAGCACAGTATAAACCATGCTTAAATCCAAGCTCGAGCGCAGATTACCACCCGCTCGCGAAGAACCGCGACCATCGTCCGTCACCGAATCTCAACCGACCACCGACCAAGATCTAAAGACATACAGGGGAGGCTGTCATTGCGGAGCGACCCAGATCACCGTGACGAGCCCGCCACTCCGCCACGTCCAAGTCAAGGAGGATAATTGCAGTATCTGCCAACGGGTTAGTCATTCTCTCCCCCGCTTGCCCACTTGATCTTGCTAAATTGAAGGGTGGTGTAAGAATGCGAATGTATGCATCTACCCGGCCAAGGCCGCGGTGACGATTGAGGATCCCCGCCACCAGCTTCGGGAGTATCGCTTTGGCCGGCAATTTACTGGCCATCGCTTCTGCGGCGTCTGCGGCGTGCAGCTCTACATGCATCTGCATGGACCCCCCGCGGCAGTGGTGGCGAGGCTGTCGCGCGAGAAGCAGGAGCTGGTCAGACGGAATTTGGATGTCGTGCCGGTTCGGGTCGCCGTGCTGGAGGGAGTGGAGTGGGAGGAGATTCGGGTGGAGAGGGAGGATGAGGGGACGGAGGGGTATGTTTTGAGTGTCTGACGGAATGAGGACTAAGCTCCAGTGCGGACTGTTTGGGATTTGCGCGTGGGTATACTGGGTATTGGTTGTTCCTGGATGTATATATACATATTTGAGAACACTGGCACCCCTTGCAATTGAGTGCGTGGTCTGAAGTCCCTTAGGCCAATTGCTGCGGTCCGTTGCGCTCGTGACCACCTCATCATCGCCTCCCTATCGGTCCGTTCGGTCGAACATGCCTGATTCTCCCAGAGACAGTGGGGTAGAGAGGACCAAATCAGCTTGGATATCGCACGCGCATCAATTTGGTGTATCGGAAGTGCGGCAATGTTCATAGAAGAGGCTGAAAACTGTCGTGAAACTTGTCCATAGTAAGAGCCAGAAGGAGACCAGATAGGGCTATCATATACGTCCACGGAAGAACTCAATCATCTCGATGGCTGCTAGCCTTGCACCACTTCAGCGGCAGAAGAACTCAAGTGTCCCAGCCATTGTTCCACGACTAGCGTCAATTGATCAGGTGGATCAGGAGCTTGTCGCTTATGGTGACAACCTGTTGCCAGTCTTCAGTCGCCCTTACTTGTATTTCTGCGTATGTTCTGGAGAATAATCCCGCGCACATCAACTTATCATTCGAAGCGATCTAATCTATGGTGTAGTGCCAATGTGATGATGGCCCGAAGCATGAGAACCAGCCACGATGTGCGGTGTGTGATCATGTTATATGTTCAGGTTGCCCGGTGGTCAAATAGTGCAAGTGCAGGCAGGCCATTTGACCACCACCGGCTGCGGAATGATCTCAATTTTAAAGCTTGTGCGTGAGGTTGGTTGAAACCAGTCAAGTCATTAGCATATAGGCCATCAATCCGTTAGATACTGATGGTTTCGTCTGTGTCAGCTTCCTTGAGCGTGTTGGGTGCCACCGCACGCTGCTGCCCGGCCATAAACAGCAGATTCCCGGTCTTTGAAGCTGTCTTCAGGAGCTCCAATGCCTTCTTCAATGTGTTCTTCGATGCGTTTTATAATGCATTTTACAATGTGTTTTTCAGTGTGTTGTAGTCATGCAAAGCCTGCCGAGGTTCAGTGTTTAGAAGCAACCAGGTAGTTTGAGGCTGAACTCCGTGTAGCTGAGCGCTTCCAGCATTTCGTGGGTATTCTTCAGCCTCGGCTCATGTCTTCCAATTCCCTGTTATGTCCATGTAGGTTACAGCATGTTTCCTTCTATGACTGGAGAGTGATTGTGTCTTTCGCTCTCAGGTCTCTTCCCTAGCTGCAAGTAAGAATTCAATTATATGATCGCTTTTCCCTTCACGGAGAATATTCCCCCTGACTGGTTTGAATGTCGACCCTCCTACCGCTGCGGAGGCTAAATGGCCGCATCTCTTATTGGAGATATTCTCCGCTGGGGACGATATATTTGATGTGGCTTACGCTCGTGTCAAAAAAAGTCTCCTTTCGACTGTTTTAAGAAGAAAAAGCCCTGAAGGGGACTGTCCAAAGCTGTCAACCAAACTGGTCTGGCCATTCGAGTAGACACAGTTAACCATTGCTCGAATAAAAATGGCAAGGATTGCATTGGAAGGTGCTCAACTGAAGTGGATTCTGGATGGGCAAGTCGTCTGTGTGGTAGTCGGCACAAACTCGCGAGAATCTTGGACGAGGACGTTTTTGTTATACAACGCTTGATGCATGTGTATCATAAGCTCTGGTGCTGTGAGGTGGAAGAAGGAACGATGGATGGATTCAATGGTCCCTCAATTGATCGGATCCATCACCTCTGTTTGTGTATTTTGCTCGCAGTGGGAAGATGCGGAGCCAACCTTCTTAGAAACTCACGCGTACTTGCTCTATGACATTTACATCTCTTTAGCATCAACCTCATATCGCGCTGACGTCTGAAAACGAACTTCATCTCTTCCTGGGGCTTCCTTTAATACCATAAGTCTTTATTATACGAACAAGGGATCCTTGTTCGAGTGACCTGTTCTGCGAGCCATATCCTCAACTCTACGCTCCAACCACTGTTCCACCTAGTCGTTGGTCAGTAGTTGCCGGCGAGAACCTGCAGCTTGAGACTCACATTAATGAACTTAAAAAACACCCAGCTGGCAACAGACAGAAGCAGTAGCACGCCCCCAATAAGAGGGTACCATCGCCAGGATGGGTTATCTTCCAGGATATCCACATTCATACCGAATAAGCTCTACACAAGGTGAGTAAACTGTTCTTCGCTGCCACAGAGGGAATGCTCACAGAGGCGAAAGTCAAAGGAAGAAAGATAAACTGCATGGACACAGCTCGTCAGTGCTATATAGGTACTCTGCAGATGACACCCTACCGTGATCCAACTAAGTCGTTTCATACTAGTTGCCAAACTAGTCGATCGATGCGCTTCGTTAATCGACACCCATGCAAATTCCTGTACATATCAGCGGAATATACAGCGAAGATGAGACTGGAGTTTCTCACGATCTGAAGCAGGTCGCGGACCGTCTGCTCCAGCTTGTCGATCTGTCCTGATATATCCCGCTCGAGCTCAGAGATCATATCCTGCATCTGCTCGGTGAATTTGCGCGTTTCACTAAACCGCTGATATTGGGTGACAAAGTCTCGAACTTGACTTAGCTGCTCCGCCAGTAACCCCTGAACGTGAGTCCATCGTTGCATGTGCTTTGCTATGGAATCAATGAGTCGATCATCTTTTCCCCGCGCAGACAACTGATGCGTGCGCTGTGGTTATTAGTACCAGCCGCCACCGAGCATATTGACAAAGCTTACCAGTCGTCCGAGATACCTCCTGGCCTCTCGGCAGATCATTAACCAGTCCTCTCGCCAAGTCTGCATGAACAGTTGCACTAGTTCAAGATCATTCTGTGGAATCCAACCATAAGGCAGATTACTATAGTAGTGAATTGCTTTCGGTGGTGCCTCCAGCATTGCCCATTCGATTATTCGGACCGTGCCCTTCTCGTCATCGTCATCCGTGAGCAAGTCGCCTATCTTTATATCCAGTCGAATAAACAATGTGAATGTCCTGCAGGGACTTTTATGTCCCAGAGAGAAGTTCATCTCATTGGGCGTTTCTGTCAGTGGGCAATACGTTTCCCAGACATAGTTCTCTCGGAAGAGCCTAGGCTCAATGGTTAAAAACAGAGACACGTAACAGTGACGAGATACGAATGACCTACATCAGATGGGTTTCGTCGACTGTCTTGGGCAATGCTCTGATCTCTTTCTGCAATACATCGGCTGTTAACCACCGGGCCTTTCTGCGTCCGTCCCGCAGAGCCACAAGATCAACCACTACACTAGGCTTGATTCCGCGGCTATAAGCCCCGAAGTTCAAACCCTCGTCGAGATCCAGTATGTTCAGCCGATGATTCATCAAGGCAATCAGGCCTGCCCGATCACCTTCTGGGATAGTCATGTCCATCACCGGGATCGAATGTTGGCCTTGAGTGGGAAAATTGCGTGACGGCATCAGGTTTACAGTCGGTTTCCCTTCACTACAAGGGCCGAACCAGTCTCCGTTCTCCAATTCGTCGATGCGAGCTTTGTGCTCCAAGAGAGCAGCCACGGTGGGTCTATCGGCCTGCTGGAGTGCCATCCTCATTAGGGGAATTGAGCTGTACTCATCCTCTCTTTCTAGACTGGGCTTGTACCGTTCAAGAAAAGGTTTCAGTAGTCGCGCACGACCTTCTTGAATCATCACAGGCAAGGACACAACGTCCTTCTTTCGTTCTACTTCATCCCCAACACCCAGCATAAGCGTATCGGCCACTTCATAGTGGCTCCATTCCAATGCATAAATGAGGGGCGTTTTGCGATAACGATCGATTGAATTAGGGTCTGCCCAAGTGGTTCTTAAGAGATGGTGGACCAGTTCTCGATCACCACGCTCGCTTGCCCATGCCAGGAACGTGCGTCGAGCTTTTGTCATGGGCTCAATTCCAGGGCCAGGCCCGAGCACGGTCAGCCATTTCTGAAAATCAACGTCGGGGGATGTGACCCCATGCGCCAGCATACTTCTTCTGGCCGTGTTACTAACCAACCACCACAGAGGGATCTGTCCCTCGTGGTCTTGAATGTCTCCGCTGGCTCCACGATCGACCAACAGGCTCGCGGCTTTGAGATGCCAGTTCTCGGCCGCCCAGGAGAGCGGGGTCCGCCCTCGCCCATCTTTGCTATCCGGGTCTGCTTTACCCTTGTCAAGGAGGAGCGCGACGATCCTGTCATGGCCCCGTTCGGCGGCCCGCGACAACGGTGTGCGGCCCCGCAGGTCGGCCACCTCTGATAGCACGCCCTTTTGCAGGAGAAGCTCCACCATCTGCTCGTCACCGGCCTTCACGGCCCAGTGCAAAGCGGTCTCGCCGTGCAGGTCCGCGAGGTTGGGATCGGCTCCACGGTCGAGAAGCAATTGCATCAACTGGCCCGGACGATCGCGATCAGTGGCCGTTTTCGCCTGCGCCAGGTCAAAGGATGCCGCCCAGGAGAAGGCAGTGCGGCCAGTTTGATCTCGAACATCTGGAGAGACTCCATAGAGCAAGAACCGTACCTCGCTGAGCAAGCCGCGTTGGGCGGCTTGCATCAGTTGGGCTGTTCGGTCTTCATCCAGTTGGAGAAATGCAGTGATCGGAGGCACGGTCATTCTTCGTTGGTCACAAAACCATGTTGTTATTGACTCGCCTTGCGAATCGTCGAAGTCGCGGAGGTGTCTAATGTTAGTGTAAGCCCGTCAGCCGGAGCTGCATATCGATCCAGCCGCTTATTGGTGGGACTATGGTGGAGGGAATGCAAGCCGCCGAAGAGGACCAATCCGAATACTGCACAATCTCATCTCAGCCGACGATTGAGTTATTGAGCAACACGTTCTGTTCTGAGGAGTTCGTGACAATTCACCGGTCTACCGCATTGTTACTGCAAGCCGGCGATCTAAACAGCAACAGGAAAGGTCACGCCCTGCGACTCAACGGGCCCAACCGGTGCCTGATCATGACGAATGATAGTGAGTACCGCGCACCATGGCGTTCATTATGCACCCCTAACTTATTAATGTCCGACATCGGCGCATATTGTGGTGATAACGATTGATTTACACCAGAGTCGAATATCCAATTGTGAGGCCGTTGAATGACGAGCTGTCATCCCCGCAATCCTGCAGAGGTAAAAAAGGTTTGGTCGCGGATGCAGCTCATGGGCTTCTGGAAACTGTTAAAATAGAGCTTGTTTCCCCTGGAAACATGCACAAGAAGTGATTCTGTTTAGTCCCGTCAGAGCCTCGATGCTTGCTCACGACGATATCGCCCGCACGTGATTCACTTAGGTACGCGTTTGCAGGAATGATAATGGGGACATATTCGCAGTACGTAAGAGCCTCGGAACTTTCCGTGGTGGCAGACATTCACCTGACTCTGGACGCGCAGTACAAAGCATCGCTGCCTGGAACAACGTGACGGCGCGATATTCCTTCGGTTGCCATTGAGGCGACTCTCTACCGAAGCCTGCTATCTCAGCTCTTTCGCCAAGAGTGAGATCAGGCGTGCCTCATCCTGATTTTCAAGGATGCTTATCGGTTGCAGTAACTTAGCACGAACCTGGGTGGTGACCAATTGGTACGGAGAGATTTATCTCTAATCTTCTGGGCCAACCGCTCCAAATTGGCTTCAGAGCAAGCTCCACTGCCAAGACCGGACTCGACAGCCATGGCTGCAATTTGGCTCCACCCTCCGCTGTCAAGTCAACGTTGGTTGGTCTGCCGGATATAGCATTATCAGTGGTCGTAATGGTGTCATTCTCTCCTGTTTATTCAGGCCGGCCTGCTTTTACCGGAAACAATGCTACTCATCTGCAGGACAATCTGCAGGATAACGCCATCCGCTGGCCAAGGTTGCATCGACAAGTTGGTCATGTCCGATTGGCCATCCTGCACGCACTTCTCGCTTATGGTTCAGGAGGGAAAGCCTCGCTTCGTTCCGCCTAGTGGATACTCGTCCGCTGTTGCAATACACCGTCGCATGTACTAGTCCACCGGTATACTCTGGTCGACACCGCACACAATGTATGCGTTTGGTCTGAGATGAGGGATAATCCCGCTGCCGGTTGAAACGACTACGGGCTTCGAAGCAAGCTGGTGGCTATGCAAGGAAGTCAGGAACGAACCTGCGAATGCGGGGATTCTGGCACCATCATCTCGGATGGCCCTGGTTGCGTACTCTAGGCTTCCAGTCGCATATCTCAGAGAGCCGTGCCAAGACTATCCCATGAATGTTCCATCGGGGCTCCGGAGTGCATAAGTCTTAACCCGCCTTTGAAGCTCTCCCGCTGTCTGACTAGCGGTTGTACCTAATTCGCTGTCTTGTGCGATCAGTGGGACAATCATGTCGCTTCAAAGAGTTCACACAAAGAGCATCGGCGGTGCCTACGATCGGTTGGCGAGAAGCCAGAAACCTCGAACAATGCTCGCATACCATGCACCACTACAGGGAGAAATTGCTTCTGGAAGGACGGTACATATGAGGCCGTTTGTCTATTGGAGATTCGTGTTTCCTCGATAGGCAGTTCCGTGCTCCGTTTGGCTACTGCATATGGAATGATCTGTGTTCCACCCTTTTCCTCGCCACCGGCCATCGATTTCTCGAAAGACGCTATAGCCGCTTGGGAAAGGTATGGGATACCTTCTCTGTCCAGCAGACATCCCCCATGCTAACAAGCAGGGGTAAGACGGTACCCACCAGAGCCTGACGCTAACTGTTGGCTATCTCCATTCTCCCCATATCTGTCTGAATGGACGGCTGATAGTCGACTCCACGCGAGCGAAACCAATGCTAGCCCCGCTAGACGGGAGGCGACTCTTATCGGAATGGGGCGAAGTGCCTTGACTTCTCGATTTATCATCTATTTCCCACATAAACCCAGTCCGGACACTCTCTTGTTCTCAATCCGCAGAAATTTTTCTTTTTACACTTGTGCTGTCACTGTAAGGTGTGATTCTCTGCACCATCTGACACCATGAGCGACCCCGTCGGTCCTGACGACCTCGTCTACGTCGCCCAAGCGCACGTACCTCAAAAAGAACTCCAGACACCAGAGAAGGAGGATGCTGTAATCACTGCCACCAGGTATGATGATGATGGCCGCGAGATTCCAACGGTGGAAGAGGAGCAAAGCCTGCGTCGTGTGGCGGGCAAAGTGAAGTGGACTGCCTATACAATCGCATTCGTCGAGCTGTGCGAGCGGTTTTCCTACTATGGAACAACTGCCGTCTGTACGTGCATCCGGCCGTCTCCATGAGCGCTGCTAACATCCTATCAGATACCAACTTCATTCAGCAGCCTCTGCCTGCAGGTTCGGATACTGGTGCTGGAGGAAGTGGGCAGTCCGGAGCCCTTGGTCAGGGTCAACGAACTTCCACCGCGCTAACCACCTGTAAGTTGCGTCTACGGCAGCTGCTTTCAATCCCTCTGACATAACTATACAGTCAACACTTTCTGGTGCTACGTCATGCCCATTCTGGGTGCTTGGATCGCCGATGAATACTGGGGCCGGATGAAGACGATTCAGGTCGCCATCGCCTTTGCAATGCTAGGACATATCATTATCATCATCTCCTCTATTCCCCAGGTCATCACCAATACCAACGGCGCCCTTGCCTGTTTCTGCGTCGGCCTGGTCTTCTTTGGAATTGGCGTGGGTGGATTCAAATCGAACATCTCACCGTTGATTGCCGAACAGCACCGCGAGACCAAGCTCTGGGTCAAGACCGTGCCCAAGACAGGAGAGCGAGTCATTGTCGATCCAGCGCAGACGATCACCCGCATTTTTTTGTACTTCTACTTCATGATCAACGTCGGTTCGCTGATTGGATCGGTGGCCATGGTGTACGCTGAGAAGTACGTCGGCTACTGGCTGGCCTACCTGCTACCGACCATCATGTTCGGATTCTGTCCCCTGGTATTGTTCGCCTGCCGTAACAAGTACCATGTGACACCTCCGACAGGGTCCGTCGCGGCGAAGGCATTCAAGCTGTGGGGACTTGCGTTGAAGAGGCAGTGGACCTGGAACCCTGTCGTCTTGTGAGTACTCTGTGCCTGTGTATTGGAGGAGTCGTGACTGACAGAAACACAGCTTCAAGCGATGCCAGTCCACCGAGTTCTGGGACGGCGTCAAGCCCAGCCAGGTGGAGAACAAGCCTCACTGGATGACCTTTGACGATCAGTGGGTGGACGAAGTGCGCCGTGCCGTCAAGGCCTGCGCGGTTTTCGCATGGTACCCTCTATACTGTGAGTGCTCATTTTCTCCTGTTCGATCTGACCACCGCTAACAAAGATCATCAGGGTTGGCATACGGCCAGATGACCAACAACTTGACCTCGCAGGCGGCCACGATGCAGCTTCACGGGGTGCCCAACGACATCATCAACAATCTGGACCCGCTGGCCCTGATCATCTTCATCCCGATCATGGACCAGTTCGTGTACCCGGGTCTACGCAAGATGGGCATCAACTTCACGCCGATCAAGCGCATCTACGTGGGATACCTGCTGGCGGCGGCATCGATGATCGCGGCGGCCGTGACGCAGTATTACATCTACAAGCTGAGCCCCTGCGGCGACCATCCAAGCACCTGCGACGAGGCGGCGCCGATCAACGTGTGGGTGCAGACGGTGCCGTACGTGCTGATCGCGTTCTCGGAGATCTTCACCTCGATCACGGGGTACGAGTATGCCTACACCAAGGCGCCGAAGAACATGAAGTCATTAGGTAAGCTGCTATGCCACTTTGAAGAAGTTGTTCATGTCATGCTAATCTGTCGACCAGTCTCGTCGTTGTATCTGTTTATGAACGCCATCTCCTCGGCTATCCAGCAGGGCTTGACGGCGCTGTCGACGGACCCGTTGCTGATCTGGAACTATGGGTTCGTGGCGGTGCTGGCGTTCATCGGAGGGAACCTGTTCTACCTCAGCAACCTGAAGCTGGACAAGGAGGAGGATGAGCTGAATAATCTGGAGGAGTCGCAGTGGGTGGGGCAGAATTCCGGGGAATCCGAGAAGACGGTTGCTTAATTGCTTAATGTGCTTAATGTGCTTAATGTGCTTAATGTGCTTAATGGTGCTTGACGTGATATGTGTATGCTTATGATGTCATGTGGGGCATTGCCTCAGGGTTGGATGCATGAGTCTATGAGTCTGGACCGAGTGTATTTTAATGTGATCGAGTTGACCTGGTTCATAATCAGGTTCCTGAGTACATCTTTGGGATTTCTGTGAGCAATTCCGTAATACTTTAGAGTTGAGGTATAGCTATCTTCGAGATCCATATTTGGTTAACTCCGTAGTTATACTCGTGCATAGAGAAGTCCTAAAAAAACCGTATATCCACAAATCCAGAAAGATGTTATACATTGATGATGATGATATAAACACTCATGAGCATGCATTAAGAAAGCGTGATACCTCGCACCCAAATCTTTTGGACAAAGAAGGCAATAAAAGGGGAAAAAAGCAGAGTGGTCCAAACCCGCAGACCAGTCCAAGTCTATCAAGCAACAAAAAGCAGCTACTCCTTCTTCTTCTCCCCCTCCTCCTTGGCCTGCTCCTCCTTCTTTTCAGGCTGACCCTTCTTCTCCTCCGCCTTCGCATGCCCCTCCAAATAATCATGCTCATAGAGACTCTGCTTCTTGCGCTTCAACCGCTCCTCCTCCGCAGCAACCATATCCTTCCACAGGTCCCCGGTCTCCTCACCCGTCGAGCTTTCACTCTTAGTCTCCTGCTTCGCCGCCTGCTCCTTCTCCGCCTTCGCCTTATCCAACAGCCCCTTCCCGCGCCTCTGATCCTGAATCTCAAACGCAGCACTCGCCACGAGCACCGCCAGCGTCAGACCCTGGGCGTACACACGCGCCTGCACGATCTTCTGACTCGACGACAGGAACTTATTGCGGTTGACCATGGCGAAGCTGCCGACCATCGACGCCACCCAGGTGGCGCCGACGATCTTGTACTTCTCGCGCTTGGCCCAGGCGGTGATCCGATCCAAAGTGGAGAGCGAGGCCAGCTCCTCCTGGCGCAGCCGCTCGTTGCGGTCCTTGTACCACAGCTGGCTCGCGTTCCGGGAGGCCTCGAAGTCGCGCGAGGCGTGGTCCGCCGCGATGATACCGACAAAGGTGCCGGACGAGGTCACCAGGAAGGATTTCATGGGCAGCGTCAGGTTGCGGATCGTCGCGCTGCGCTTGCTGAAGGCGAGCACGCCGGCCACGCCGCCGATGAGGCCGAGCACGCCGCCGATGGTGCCGCCTTTCAGGACGGAGCTGTGTTTTGCCGGGGTTGTTAGTGGAGGTGGTTTATTTGAGGGGGATTGGCGGATTTTGGATTTTTGGAAGGGTGATGGGGGGATTGCATTGAAGGGGGAAAGAAAAGGGGATAGATGGCTTACCGGTAGTGAGCATCTTCTTCTTCCTTGGTGAGGAGCTTCATTGTGCGATGGTGTTCGTTTTTGAGGTGGTAATGTAGATGGGGATTAGGTTCTCTCAATTGTAGGGCACACAACGCGATGGATATGTGCAGTGAGTGGGTGCAGTAGGAACTGTAGAATGTAGAACCCAGGAAAGTGAGAAGCAAATGTAGGAAGCAGGCGGGATATAAGGCGCAAGGCGAACAAAAAGTCGCCCGGCAAAGCAAAACCCGAGTGACGTCTTGCGAACCCGCAACGGGATCTGCGGCTCTGACTCGGTGTTTCCGCGGCCTTTGCTGCTGGTTCCTTCAGCGTCAAGTCATCATGAGGGAATGAATTTCACCCTCTCTCATAGGGTGGCTGGCCCAGTTGCTCAGTGCTATCCATAGTATCACTTCGGAACTTTCCTGCCGAGACGGCGATTACTCGTGCTTTTTCTGGTGCCCTGGTGGCTGGTTACTCATACCTGCAATTCTCTTCTTTTCTCGTGCGAGATTGCGCCCCCTCATTCCCCGTATACCGGGTGTTGTAGGAACAGATCGATTTGTTGTTGTCCATCGTCCACGGTCTAGTCTAATCTAGCCTTATGGGCTGATCAATCAATCAATCGCATGTCTTGTCGGATTTTTTTCCCTTCCCCTCTTCTCCTTCGTCTCCTCCGTCTCCTCGCCTCTCCTCACTAGTCACATACTCCGTAAGCTTTAAATTAAATGATTACAATTCATTCCCAATTTCCTGCGCCGTTCCCGTCCGTAAATAAATCGAATACGAAGCAAAGATAAAAACATATGCAACTAAAGCTACATTCCAACCACCCCCCGCTATCGCCGGGACCCCTTGGACGCCGCAATCTGTCGCGCCCGCATCTTCCGGAATCGATCCTCGCCGCTGGCGCCCAAGGGTCGCGCAAACTTGCTCTCCTGTACCATCGTCGGTCGCGGCACCACCGTGTAACTCGTGTGGGTGAGGTCGGCGCGCGCCCGGTTCGCCAGTCGCGGCGGCAGCATTTCGCGCGCGCGCGCCTCCGCCACCGACGTTTGCGCCGATTTGGGACGGGATGTGCCCAGTTGACTGGTTCAAGTTAGCAGGGAAATACAAAAGTGCGATATCGAAGCGATCGAAAGCGACGATCGACGACGAAACGCTGCAGACAAGAGGGGCCATGGGAAACATACGTAGGATCAAAAGCAGCCTCCTGGTACACCCGCTTGGAATAATCGTCGCTGCGCTGCAGGATCGGGCGCGTCCACTCGGCCAGCAGGCGCTCCGCCATGCGCTTGATACCTGGCTCGGGTCGCTTACTGCGCGTGTAGAATACAATCACCTTGCCGACCCCACTGGCGATCAACGTCTCCTTGTTGATCGGCAGCTTGCCCAGCGCCGTCATCAGATCGCGCTGGATGTTGTAGGCGGGGAGCGAGCCGTCGTCCAGCGGCTCCAGGAAGAACTTGACGGCCTCGAGCAGGTTGATTTCCGGATCCACCAGACTGTTGACGTATTGGTTGCGATTCAGCAGGGAGACGACCTCGGGGAGCATCTTGAGTTTGTGCATGGCGGGCTTGCCTTCGCGGCGGTTGATGGCATCCATCTGTGCGGCGTGGGTCATGCGTTTGCGCATATCTTCGATCTCAGCATCGGCCATTTGTTCCAAATCCTAACCCCGTAAACCATTAGTTGAGAGCGCCCTCCCCCCCGGCAAAACAGCGTAGAACATCCAGGGGTAAAAAAACATACAATGCCATCCGCCTTCCGGAACCGTCTCTTAGTCGGCTTCTTCAACGCTTCATCCATAGCACGATCGAGCGCTCTCCTCCGTCCTGTCGACCGCCAACAAGATTAGCATTCGCCCCACATTCTCCTTTTCTTCCCACGGGGACCACAACTCACGCGTAGCAGGATCCAAGGTCTCATCATCCTCCAGCAACACCTCCTTCTTCTTCGACGCGCCCGTCCGTCTCCGCCCGGCCTTGCCCGCGCCGCCTTCCTCGTCGCTGGCCCCGCCGCCTTCCTCCAGCTCGCGCATCCGACGGCTCTTCTTCTCGCGCCGGCCCTCGCGCTTCCGCTTCGACTGCTCCCCTTCGGCCCCCTCCGTGCGCTTGCGCTTGTGCCGTCCGATCAGCTTCAGGTTGTCCTCGTCGATGGCTAGCTGTGGCCGGTCCTCGATGTCGACGTTCTCCGGGTCGAAGTCCTCGAACTGCGCCTCGTCCACCTCGGACAGGATCGACTCGTCGTCCGAGTCGTGGGCTTTGTCATCGTCATCTTCGTCGTCTTCGGGCTCCGATGCCGCAGCATTCTCTTGGTCTTGGAATCGGGGTTGGTGGTCGCTTTCTTCGGCGTTGTTGTCGGCGCCGGCGCCGGCGTCCGGGGTCGGGGCACGGGCGGGTTCATCTTCGATGGCCGGGGAGGCGGCTCGTTGTTGTTCGGGGCTGTTGGGTGCGGACATCTTGACAGAGGCTGTGGTTGTGTGTTTGTGTGGTGGGGGGTGTCCTGGGGACTGGATGGTGGTGTTGTGTTGGTTGGTGGTTTCAGGGAGATGTGGATGTGTGGTGTAGTTGTTGGAGGAGTTGTTGTTGGTGGTAGTTCCAGGCCTGAGAGACAAGTATCGTAAAGAAAAAAAAAGACTCTCTCCCTGATTCAAGCGTTTCCCCCTTTTGGGAGATACGAATAAATAGTTCCGGAAAATGACAGACAGATGACGATTAAAGGAGGAAACGAAATGGATGGAAATCCAAGAAAAGAGACTGGCGCCGCAAAGGCAAGTAAAGGATGGGCTGGAGGAATCCGTTCCGCCTCCGCAGGTGGTCCGTGCTCGGCAGAATCTCTTTTCCTTCGGGGTCAAGCTGATAGAGACATACACTTAGAGACTAGCCTTCCATCTACCATTATTATACAACTCTTCAACTCACTTTTTCCCTCACTTTTCAATACACATTCTCTCTCACAATGTTCGCTCCCGGTAGGTCTTATCCCCCCCTTCTGGGTAATGAGAGCAAAGCACTAACACCCGTCCTTCAGGTCAGGAACAGCTCTCCAGAGAGGACATCAAGGTAATTCTCATTGCCCGACGACCGCTATGATCCATGCATGCCCAGGGCCATGGCCTTGCTACACAAGCCCCCGGTCCAAAGGATGAACAGCAGAGCTAACAACCAACAACAGGCTGGTGAGGCCCAGGCCAACCAGACCGTCCGCATGGCCATCACCGGCGGTGTCCTCCTCTACCTCTGTATGATTCCCGCTCTCGCCGTGTCTCTTTCCGATCAATCCATCCAAAGCTAACCGTGAGACCTCGCTACTGCAGCTCCCTTCGCCGTCGAGTTCGTCAAGAAGTTCCTGTAAATCGTGCAGCATCCGTTCGATGATCATCCATCCGGCTCGATGAATCCGAATATACTCCTTCTACCGGACTAGAAGACTGTGTTACTGGATACAAGGGCAGTGGTGGACATGAAACCATTTTTTGATGTATACTAGATCCATTGGAGGGAGCTCTGTTTTTATTTCCACCTAGAAAGAAAATATCTTGCGTATGTTTCTACCTCGTCTTGACTTTGCGCTTAACAATAAGAAAGGATCCCTGGCGCGAATGCGCGCGGGTAATGTTGCGGATACCAGCTCCTTGAAAACTCCGGTCAATTGCTTTCCCTCCTCAATCAAACCCAGCAAAGAAAGCAGTATGTAGAAAGCACACCCCGATTCGTAATAGATTGAACTCAAATGAGAAAGGCATGAGAATGATAAACACTACATTAAATGAGCCCCGCCGCCGGGGAGCTTCTGCGACTCTTCGAAATCCTTCTTCACCGACTCCAGCTCCTTCTGTAGGTGCTGGATCTGCACGTGGTAATCGTCCAATATCTACCGGGCCATTTGTTAGCAACGAAACTCCATCCGGTTTGACGGGGAAGGTGCCTGCTTACCTTCTTCGCCGTCTTCAATGTCTGCTCATCCAACTCATCCTCCGCCTGGGCTGTGGCCTTGGGTCCCGCCCGCTCCATCTCCTGCTGCAACCGCCGCGAATGCTCCCGGATGGCCAGCATGCGCGCCCAGATCTCCTCCCCGCGGCCGTTTATCGACGGGTCGAAGACCGACCGCTCCAGTTGCGTCAGCTTTTTCCGCAGCTCCTCCTCGGCATCGTCCATCGCGTAGCCGCGGTTGCGCAGCACCTGGGTCTTGGCCGCCAGCGTCAGGCACCGCTTGCTGAGAACGAGGTGTTTCCGCCGACAGTCGGCGATGCGCACGCTGATCTTCAAGTCATGTCGCGACAGGAGCTCGGTAAGGCAGTTGTTGATCTCGTGCATCCGGGTCTGCAGCATGGTGAGGAAGTCCTTCTGGCGCTGCGCGCGCTTGCCGAGATCAAAGAATCCCTGCACCAGGACCGGTACATAGCCCGGTTCGGGTCGCTTGCGGAGCGCATCCTCCCATTTTGCCTCGTCATCTCCATGTCCCGGCTGGTAGAAGGGCGCCGCGTCTTCGCCGACGTTGTTGTACAGGTAGGTGCGGAACGGGGACGCGCGGTTGTTGGGGTCCCATTTGTCCTTGACAATTTGAATCTGCATGGGAACGGTGCGGTGGACTTGTGCGAGGGGGAAAGATAGTTAGTACATTTTAAGAGATATCATAATTGAGATGCAGCACCAACCTCCCGTAACGGCCCGTCCGGGCTCCCAAAGACTCGATCCCAATTGCGATTGCTGCTGTGCATTGGACTGTCCGAATTGCAACGTTGACCCCATCTGTCCTGCCGGCATTCCTGGTACCTGTTGCTGTTGTTGACCCAGCAGAGAGCCACCGAACAACCCTGACTGCTGTTGCTGCTGCTGCGGTTGCGCCTGCTGGCCAAAGAGACCGGTGCCCTGAGGCTTCTGACCCAATCCTCCGAACAGACCTCCACCTCCTAATCCCGACGCGGGCTGCGTCTGCGTTTGTTGGGGCAATGCGCCGAACGCAGGTTTTTGCTGGGTTGCATTTGTGTTGCCAAAGAGGCCGCCGCCTGTGATCGATGACTGCGCGTTGGTGTTCGTGGCGCCGAACAAGCCGCCCGTATTCGATTGTTGCTGGGTACCGGCTGCTGTGTTTTGTCCAAAGAGACCACCGCCGGTCCCTGTCGTAGCAGCGCCAGTTCCTGCGTTGCCAAACAAACCGCCGCCGGATCCTTGTTGAGCAGTGGCGCCGAAAGGGTTGGGTTTCGAGTCCGTGCTGGGGTTACCAAAGAGGGAATTTCCACCCGAAGGTTGAAAAGGTGTTTGACCGAAGAGGGACATGATGTGTGGTTGTGTTTGGGAGAGGATGGGGTCTCGGCCGGTTGAGGTGAAGTTGAGGAGAGTGAATGCAAGCTCCGAGCTGGTATCAAGCAGAAAAGCAATGAGACAGCTCAGCGATTGACGAATTGACAGCTGCAAGACCCTTGAGCCAGGCTAGTGTCCTGTGAAACAACAATCTCAAGAAGAGACCAGGACCTGCACAGCAAACCTCGAGACCGAAACAATCACGAACAGCAACGGCGATGCGGAGAGCTGCGACTCGAAGCGCTTTTGTTCGGGGCAACCGCTTTGTTTTTCGCGGGTCACGTGCAGTCCGCTCACGCCGGGGACTCGTTACTGCCTGAGGCATTGAAGGGCTCTAAGGCCACAACTCCCGCACCTCAATTCTGCCTCAGGCGCTAGATATCTGCATTACCTAATCCAGCCTCCCGCAACCAATCAACACTCAGCAAAAACCGACCTCCAAACCTCTCCGCCGCAGCTTCAACTCATTGTCGTCGACCTTGTACTGCCCGCACCAAAACCGCCCTCCTCTCCTCCTCCTCCGGAATTGCCTCTCACCCTCCCCAATTGCAATTGAGCTACTCTCTCCGGAAACACACAGAAACAACCGTCACCATGGCCCGCCGCGAGTCCAGGTATACTTCTCCCCTCTCTTCCGCCTCTACCAACGACCAGCCGCCTTGTCTCTCTACATCCGAATACCTCCATAATCCCCAAACCTACCTACACCTCCATATACCCACCCTCGCAACCACCAATGCCCACAATTGAACCCCCCAAAACCCTTCCACTCCTTCCAACCTCTGAGAGTCATCAGCTGAAGCTAAGAACAAAAACATGGCAGATTCTCCCAACAGGTGCTCGTCGACACCACGCCGATGCCCGACCACATCCCCAAGGTGGAGGAGATCGGCGCGACGTCCGCCCCGCTGTTCAGCGCCGCCTACTTCATCGGCGACCGGTGCCGGGCCTACAACGACGACTTCATGAAGTGCAAGGCCGAGGCCAATGGCCGGGGCGAGCTGGAGTGTCTGAAGGAAGGGCGGAAGGTGACGCGCTGCGCCGCGAGTGTGTACGTTGGACCTTTTTCCTTCCGGGGGATTATCAATTGAGCTTGTTTCTATGCCTGGGAGAAGCGAGCGATATACGCTCAATTCGCCCCCTTTCTGTAGCAGCAAAAGCAAAGGAAACAATGGCCATGGCTAACGGCCGGAAACAGGATCAAGGATATCAACACCCACTGCCTCAAGCAATTCACCGCCCACTGGGAATGTCTCGAGCAGAACAACCACCGTCTCTTCGATTGCCGTAAGCCCGAGGTGAACCTGAACGCCTGCGTGTTCGACAAGTTGGTTCGTTGATCCCCTCCCCTCCCCTCACTCTTATGCTTGTCCTTTTTCTTGTCCCTCCAAGGCCCCAGCAATCCGTTTGAGGAACCCGGTATTGACGGGCTACAAAACAGGGCCTCAAGAAAACCATCCCCGGTGCCCCCGAAGATCAAACCCCCGTGCACCTGCGCCCACAACAAATCTTCTCCCGCTATCCCGGCCGGCAGTGGCAAGCGAACGAGGATGGGACACCCATCCTGGACAAGAACTAAAGCAGGGGTTTTGACAATCTAATTTCCTTTTTATGGCCGCGCGGTCTTGTTTTCCCAGTTTCTTTGGTCTTTTTTCGAGGTGTTTCGCCCATGATTTCTGATCGAAATGGCTCTCGTGTGTGTATGTGGGTGTGTGTGTATATATTAGCATCAGGAATATTCATTTGGTATCAGAAGATGATCCCTCTCTTTTTGGTCTGTGTGTAGTCCGGGCGGGGGGGCGTGGTGATCTTGTCTAGATGCTACATGATAACATTGTGGTTTAGTGTACAGTAACCGACTCTCATGACAAAAGGAACGCTCGGTGGAGAACGAGCCAGCAAGACAAAATAAAAAGCATGTTCATCATCAAGATGTCCACGCCATGCATACATGCAAAAACACCATAAATATATATATACGAGAACATAGGAGACCACAGCATCCCAGCATCTACCAAGAGCGAAAGAGAGAGAGGGAGGGAGGGCCCAGAAATCAAGAATCACCCGGAGGGATCCTCTTCCTCCGCCAGAGCCTCGTCCTCGCCAATCGACTCTTCACCTCCGCCCACCCGACCTTGAGCACGACTTCCAGCCGCCGGTCCCCGCGGAGGCGCATCAACACCCACAGGACCCCCACGATGGCCAGATCCACCATCACCTGCCGAAAACACACCCACAGGAACCAGCGGATCCAGGCCCAGACACCCGAGCGGCGGCGCTGGGCCAGCGCGCGCGCCTCTATCTGCTCGCGCACGGCGGCGATCTCGGCCGTCATCGTCGTCAAGGCCTGCTCGACGCGGCGACGCCAGGATGCCGGTGTGGGAGGGGGCGGCGGCCGGCGTGACCTCCCTGTGGACGGGGGGTCGGGGGGTTCTACTGCTTCGTGAGGATGGGGTTGTGGTCGGTAGTCGTTCTCCTCGGCATCGTCATCATCGTCTTCTTCATAAAGATTATCTTGAGCCTCCGCGTACACCTCGTCCTCCTCGTCGTCCTCCTCCTCCTCATCAGCATCATGATCATGATCATGATCCACCTCACCATCCCCATATCCTTTGGAACGCGACTGAGCATACGCTCCCGGCTGACTCGGCTGACTCACGGGACTCATCACCCTCAGCCCTGAGCCCTCCTCGCAAACACGTCCGCGCCCACCATGTCGAGACGAGGCCGCCGCCACCGCCAATTCGCCCTCCCCCATTGACGTAGCAAGACGCCACCGCGCATACTCCTCGCGCGACAAGCGTCGCCCCGACGCCGAAGCAGCAGCAGCACCACCACCACCACCACCACCACCACCACCACCACTCTCCCCCGCCGACCCACGAGGTGACCGGAAATCGACCAACCCCTGGCTCCTCAGAAGCGCCTCCGACCCGGAGTCCGACGACTCCAACGAAGCGGTATTCGACTTGATCTGATCCCAGACGAACTCCAACTCGGCGACCAGCTCACGGGCCTCGGCCGTCTGCGACGCATACTGATGCATCGTCTCGATCAGCGTGGAGATGTACCGGCGTTTGGCTTCGGTGCGGGAGAGACCGCGCTGGGCGTACCACGTATCCCTATCCCATACGAATCAGCATTAGCAAGCAAGTCGCAGAAAACCTTAGCCAAAGAACCCTCAATCCATTCACCCCAGAACGCACTCCCAACCCAACCCTCCTCCCTCCTTCCCCCCTTCCCTCAATCCAAACAACCGATTGACCGGCCGAAACAACGGCGAAAAGAATAACCTTACCACTTCTCACACTCCATAAACACATCCGGGGTATTCCCCACCGGTCGATCCATTACACCTTCGACGTCACCTTCTACCGATTCCCAAAAAGACATAGCCATAAAAGATTAGCTTCAGCCCACCACTTAGCTGTCCGAAAGGGATCAGGAAGACATACCCATACTCTGCTTATACAAGCCATACAACTTCAACCGCTCCGAGGCGGGCGGACGCGCCGTCCCCGTCCGCGGAATCCGTTTGACTGTGTTGAGGGCGTGGACGAAGACGCGGTCTATTTTCGGTCATAAAAGTAATTAGCTTCTGCTATGCATCGGTGGTCCTGAAATATGTATTCTTTGCGCAACGCAAGAGCAATCTCTCCGAGCTCAGATGATGCCGGCGGGCGAGATGGCATCTAAGCTTCTTAGGGAATGAAGGAATAACGGAATCACAAGACAGAACAGAAAAACATAAGGTAGGGTTGGGGACAAACGCACCCACTGAGTCCGACATGATTCAACGCGCAACAGCAACAACGAACTGGAACCCGAATGTAGTCTGGTCGAGGGTGGCTTCATGAGAGCAGTGGTGGTGGATGCGGAGGCGGAGGCGAAGGCGGAGTCGGTCGTCGTGGGCGCGGTGGTCGTAGCAAGGGGGTACCGCATGGATGGGGGACTTCCGCGAGACGGTAAGATTCAGAGCAATGTCCTCGAGGGTATCTGGTTGTTGTGCTATTCCCTCTGGGATGGGGGGGAAGGAGAGAGATCGCGAGTGTAGAGAGAGTGTGTGTGTGGTTTGGTCGCGCGAGTGGAATTCAAGGGAAAGCTTCCCCGGATTTCGGAGTCGAAGAGAGAGACAGATAGATCGATCGATTAGATATGCGCGTCACGAAGGAGAGGGGAAAGGGCCGAATGGAAATCTGGACTCGACTGAGAATTGGTGGGAGAAAATGGAGAACCAGATTTCAAAGGGAATTGTTTCGAATGGAGGAGGAAGTTGGAGGCTGCAGCATGCAGGGTCAGTCAGGCCGATAAGTGTTGTTAGTTCGGTTGATGCTGGATTGGAATGGACTGATTGACGGATTCGGCTCAACCGCGGCTGTTCGGCCTCGGAGGTCCCGCCCGTGATTCTGTGGGTTCACGTCCTCTACTCCCCACTTCTTCTATGCCATCCTTTTGCCAGCCTGTGATGCTAGACAATTTCTTTGTGTACATCTGATCTCAATCCCTCAATTCTACAGAGTATTGGATCAAGAAGAGGAAGTCATCGTAATTGCTAGCTCTACCAGTGAATAGTCAGTCAGGCATACTCATATATATTTACGTACACATACATACATACATCATTCACAAAACCAATTATCATACCAGAACACAGAATAAATATGTACAAAAGGTAACCACTGTATCGACAAGAGACAGCTGGATCAATTCTTCGCTGAGCTACTTCGCCGCCCCTTCTCCCCCTCCGAGAGGACATTCTCCGGATCCACCGGTTTCCCCGTCATCACCCCCGGCATCCCATCCACTTCCTCCGCCACCGGCGGCCCCGTGAAATGCTTGCGAGCATACACCACGTACCAGCCGATACTGATGGCCGCGAACCCGGCAAACACCACGCTGGCGTAGTTCATGCTGCTGGCGTCGACCGGCAGCGACACGGGCATGCAGAACAGCACCACCGCCAGCACGATCCAGCA